TCTAAAGAACTTGTGGGATGGTTCGGATGGGGCTGAGCTGAGGCCACCAGGCGGGTCGCGGGTTGCGGATAGCGAACGGCTTCCACCCGGGGAGGTAAGCTGCGAATAATACGAGATTCCTCGTAAATAAGCAGTCCCGGACAAAAAGCGGGTGCGATAATGTCGATCGTACCGACAAGGCGCCTGTGTTGCCGCCTTCCAAAGTATAGCCTCACACATCTCCCTATCTGCCCACATATCTACCTACCGCATCCTATCCCCTCAGAGCTCAGGCAGATGGCGACCGCCTGTGCTAATTTAGCCTTACCCGGGTATCGCGGATCTCTGCCCGGGTGGACATATACTTCTCCGCAGCTCGTGGGACTCCATGAAGCAAACACAATTTGTAAAAATACCGCAGGATCTCCTGCTGAGCATGTCGCAAGACACTAGAGGGTCATGCCCATGACGGGGAACGGTACCTCCAGCAGGGACTCACCCATGATGAAGCCTTGAAAAAGGCCAAAGAGCCCAGGGAGAAGGTTGCAGCACCTGCGCCACCCCTAAGAGAATGTGCCCGGAGGTTGGGGGCGCTGCCCGCGGCTCGTCAGCGGTAAAGGTGCTGAACGAAAATAGGGCAGGAAATCTGGACCTGCGCCCACGAAGCCCAGCTCGCCGACACCCACCGAGCCTCGCCTATCATATGCAGACATGGCAAAAAAGGTAAAGGTGGCCGTGTTGCCCGTGGATTTCTGTGTTGGAAGAGGCCATCATAGACGAAGTCATTGCATCTGGTGGAGATATCGCGGTCTCATTCGTGGGCAGTAGTAGGGAAATGGAGATTCTATGACAGGAAGCGGGTTATTGCTACAGCTAGCAGCTGTCGCACTGTTGTGCATGTACATGATTTGATTTTTGAGGGTGGGTGCAATGATCAGTGGAAAGGTAATGCTCGCTTCTCTTTTGTCACTTTTTGTCAATGTATAGAACTCATGCGACACCTCACACGTGAAAACTGTTGTCAAGTACGTTCTTCGCACGTACGTTTGCCAAGTGCTGCTACCTTCTTCGTGTGTTTGGATCTTCTCCTTTTACTGTGCACTCTGTTTGAGTGGCCCTCCTTATATTAATTTCACAATAATTTGAAATAATAGCCTGCGTTGCTTTGTGCACCTGTGGGCTTCATACATAGGTTTGTAGAGTTTAAAATGTTTAAATAAAATAACTTCTTTTTTTTCTAATTTTCATAATATATTTTATTTATTTATAAATAGAATGCTTACAAATGTTAAAGTTTGTTTATTCTTATTGATATAGTTTAATTTTAAGATACATGTATTTTATGAAAGTATATTGTTATTATTATCCATTTTGCTTAACCTCTTTCTTAAGTTAGTGTATTAAAATATAAGACGATCCAGTTTTCTTTTACATGATACAAAGTAGTGACAAGCACATGTATCAACTCCTTCTCTGGCGTTATCCGAAGACCATGGGCACACTGTCAAGTGCTTTCCATATTTTGATTTAATTAGACGATAGTTTTCATATTCCAAGAAAAATACTCGGTATTCCTCCAATATTATAACTTGGGGTTTATATTTATTCAGAGCTTAGTATTTAATACAGAATATATGTCCGCTTCATGCGACTTATACTACGCGATTCAAGCGACCAAAAGCGACTGACTCTTACTTCATGAAAATAGCTTAAACATAGCATCGAAGAAGGTCTTCATCATAAGGAACTTACAATTACCGTTGCTCGCAGGCAACAACAGATTAAGACTACAAAACGGGAATGCAAGACAAGCTGCGGTGTACATAGGCAAATATAGTTATTTCCAACAGATTTTATAGTTTGTTTATATTTAGGAACATAATGGTACAACCAAATTTTAATTTCCATATATTTCAAAATTAGAGTTTTCTAAGATTACAAATAGTTTAAATAAATTGTTTAGAGCACATTGGTTTGTTATTTTCTTATGTATTCTACAATTTGTGAAAAAGTTTTGAAAGTGTCTTAAACTTTGACCTAGCTCTAAATCAACTATTTTTGTAGTTAAATATTTACTTAAAAACTGTTTCTTTGCTCGACCTCGTACAATAACTGTAGCGAAACTATTTAATGAACTTAATATATCACCAAGACTTAAATAAGAAATGTCGCCATCACACCAATCCAATCCATCGACATACTGTTTAGTTGTTTTTAGGGTTTTTCTTGTTATTTCATCCACCTCGTTTATATCATAAGGAGTGAAAGAAATTCGGAAGGATTGATCCGACTTGCATGAAAGTCAATTCCTTTACAAAAATTTGTTGCTCGTTTCCAAATATATACTGAAAGTCAAGAAGAACACACGAGCTCCTGTCTATCTTAATCATTTTGCGTCTAATGTGTATAATGTACTGAGAAGCATGAGCAAGACTCTTCACCTTAAATAGCGTTCACAATTCAATTCCCAAGTTAGTTTGAGACAACTTTTCAATCGATATGGACTTCACTTCAGCTAAGAAAATCCAGAAATTCAAGAAAAATTCAAGATCACGAAATCATTTTTGGTTTCGAGTATTTTGTTAATCTACAACTAAAATTAAGGTGTGGCTTTTCAACAACGAGACGATTTACACCAATGGTTTGGATGCAGCAGCATAAACGTAATTTCATTGGATTTGGAAAAGAGGAATGGATTCAATTACTGACGTTTAAGGAATATATCCAGTTAAGGCTTGAGCAGTTTGAGTTCTTGATGCCTGATGCAATAATTGATAATCCCAAGATTGAGAGCATAAAGTGTCATTTTAAGATTAGAAAATCCGATAAGCAATGCATATTCATTTTAAATCAATACGGAAATAAAATTGAATTTGATAGTGAATCATGGAGAGCCTTCATAAGATTATGGATATTTTTCACGTCATTTTTCTGTTGGAACACACTGCTTAAAAATCAAATTTGTAATATATATAATAATTATATTATCCCAAAATGTTCAAAGATGGGGAAATATGATGTACAACTTTTAGATTTAAATGTGTCTTATGGACATGAAGCAGAAATTGATTTAACTCGCTTATGCTTTGAAATTTCATGAAAAATGGGAAAAGAAATAAAAAAAGATGTAAACCAGTATAGACAAGTATTACAAAAGAAAGTTACACAAGTATAGACACTTTATAAATAAAGTAAAATAATTCTTCAGTTGCATTTCTGCTTTTGGAGAATACACAACAGAATGGGTCTAATTTCGAATTTTGAATTTAAAACAAATGTAAGGAAAATTGATGATTTCCTCAAGGAGTTTGAGGATGTAATTTTCCCTGAACATTCTAAATTGTCGGAGGAATACCGAGTATTTTTCTTGGAATATGAAAACTATCGTCTAATTAAATCAAAATATGGAAAGCACTTGACAGTGTGCTCATGGTCTTCGTATAACGCCAGAGAAGGAGTTGATACATGTGCTTGTCACTACTTTGTATCATGTAAAAGAAAACTGGATCGTTTTATATTTCAATACACTAACTTAAGAAAGAGGTTAAGCAAAATGGATAATAATTGTTTGGTCAAACTTTATGTTAACAACACTTGTAATTTAATAAAACATCGATAGTTCACTATCGAATTAGCCAAAGTTGTTATAAGAACAAGATCAAGTAATACGTGCCCCTTTGTGTCAAAAAATAAAGTTTTTAATTAAAATAGTTTAAATACCGCCCAGACTTGAAGTCTTTTGTTTGCATAAAAAACGCTTTGTGCAACGAACATTTTGGCGCCCTACGTGGGGCAGTGTTTAAATAAATTTAATAAACAATTGGACAATTTCGCATTTTGTTACGTTAACAAATTCCGCGTACGCGTATATACAAACTAAACAAATTCGCCTTGGCTTCCAATTGCTTGGTTGCAACAATTAAAACATCAAATTCGTCGCATGTGAAATTAGCTAAGCAAAACCAACATAAAGTTCATCGCAGCAGCAATCGCACACATGCACATAACTCAATTATTGCGCTGCTCGCAATCGTCGCTTCAGTCGCTGCCTTTAGTGGTTTATCCCAAATTCATTCTTCGTTCGTTTGTGTAAGAGCTGCAACTGCGATCGATACTGTTGCATATACACACATACACACAACAATAATTTTCGTCGTTTTTGGCGCGTCAAGCAGAACTTAAGCTCCGCGCCAAATTCTGTAAATATGTCGCATTCCTTGGAAGACTACCGACGCCAGCGCGCAAACATCAAAAGGAACATTTCTCGCATTAAAACTTTGGTCGATGGACAATCTGGAGACTCTTCTAAAAGATCAATGTCGTTTAGGCATTTTGGAATCGTACTTTAAGCAATCGTTGACTATTCAATCGGAAATAGAAACTCTGGATCCAAATGATAATGGGCGCGCTGAACTGGAAGACAACTATGTACACATCAAGTTGGCAATTAAGAAATTGCTTGGTGAAGACTTAAATAGTACAGTCGCTGATGACGCTACATCACTCGTTGCTTACCATCCTCAACTATCACGTCTGCCTTGTTTAGCCTTGCCCACATTCGATGGCAATCATCTGGAATATAACAACTTCATTTGCTCGTTTAATCAAATCGTGAAAGGAGCGCAAATATTGAGAAGTTTAACTATCTACTCAACTGCTTAAAGGGTGCTGCGCTGGAGTGCGTGAAGGCATTTCCAGTCACTAATGAAAACTACGCTAAGGCATTAGAAAAATTAAAGTCTCGGTATGCCAAGCCAGCATTGATATTTACAGAGACAATATCGTCAAATTTTCAGTTGCCTTCAGCTAGTTCATCAAACGCTACTCAGCTACGGTCGTTAATTGATAGTGCATCGGCATTATTTAGTTCACTTTCGTGTCAGAGATCGCACCACACTTTGTTACACAACAAGATACGTTCAACAACACAACCAAGCTCTTCCCCAGCCACCGAAGCAGTAGCACACAACCATTCGCAAATCGAAAAACGTTATCAATCTCACGTTCTTTTAGCAACGGCTATGGTCTTGGTCAGAGATTCAACTGGCACTTACAGACTAGGCCGTGCTCTACTTGACTCGTGTTCGCAGGTGAATTTCGTCACCGATTCGTTTGCTCAGAAGCTTCGTCTAAAAAGAGAGAAACACGATGTGCAAATCAGCAGTATTGGCCATGCACGTACAGACATCACTTCGCTTACAACTACATCAATAAGGTCTCGTTTGTCGCCTTTTGAAGTTTCGTTAGATCTTTGCGTCACCTCGCATATAGCCTATCAGCCGGACATCAATATCGACATTTCAACATGGAAAATGCCAGAAAATATTGTGTTGGTAGAAGAGAAATTCTACCAATCTCGACACATCGACATGCTTTTAGGAACAGAAGCATTCTTCGACATTCTGTCAGTGGGCCAAGTTAAACTTGATACAACTGGGCCCATGCTCCAAAAGACACTGTTTGGTTGGGTAGTAACAGGAAAGTGTCATCCGCAACAGTCTCGAGAGCTTGCTGCTAGTTTTAAGCTTGGTGCCACTTCAATTGACGATCACCTTAAACGCTTATGGGAAATTGAATCAACTGAAACTTCAAATGTGCTGTTGAAACCAGAACATCGAGCTTGTGAGGAACACTACGTAAAAACGACTGTTATAAATGACAGTGGTCGCATTGTTGTAAGGCTGCCGTTTAAGAACAATCCCAGTCAACTTGGTCATTCATTCGACATAGCACGCCGCAGATTTCTCAGCTTGGAACGCCGTTTGGCACAATCTTCGGAACTTCGCTTACAGTATTGTCAATTCATGGAGGAGTATGAACGTTTGGAACACATGTCGCTGGTCACAGAACCAAACTTATCGGAACCTCACTACTACATACCTCACCATTGCGTTTTGAAGCCCAGCAGCGAATCCACAAAGCTTCGAGTGGTCTTCGACGCCTCGTGTCGAACATCCAATCAAACTTCGCTCAATGATCATTTACTTGTCGGCCCGACTCTCCAAGACGATTTATATTTGCTGTTGTTGCGTTTCAGATTACATCGTTACGCCATAACAGCTGATGTAACCAAGATGTACAGGCAAGTAAATGTTGATTTAAATGATCGCAAATACCAGTACATACTCTGGCGAGCTCTTCCAGATGAACCACTTCGCACTTATCAACTCAACACGGTTACATATGGAACAGCCTCAGCGCCATACTTAGCCATACGCAGCCTGCATTATTTGGCAAATCTGTGTCGAACTGAGTATCCAATCGGTGCTGCAGTCATTGAATCGTCGTTCTATGTAGATGACCTGTTATCTGGAGGTGAGGACATAGAAACTCTTCGCACAATCAAGGATCAAGTCACGAAAATTCTTCATCGTGGTCACTTTCCGTTATCTAAGTGGCATTCAAATCATGCCCAATTTATCGAAAACTTCGCTATCAAGGATTTAAATACGTGTGACAACGGATTGACCAGCGCACTTGGCGTCAGCTGGAATCAACACACCGATATGCTGCTATTTCACTTCAAACCGAAAATCGTTGCGTCAACCGTCACCAAGAGGACCATTCTGTCAATTGCATCAGCGTTGTTCGACCCTCTCGGACTGGTGTCACCACTCATAATCGTCGCAAAGATAATCCTACAGGAGCTCTGGCTTGCAGGGCTTACTTGGGACGAATCGGTACCACAGCATCTTGAACTGGCCTGGAAGAAGTGCCTGGAATCATTCCAAACCATTTCGTCACTTGCTGTACCCCGGTACTGCAAACAGGTCAACCAAAGCTCATTTCAATTGCATGGGTTCTGCGACGCTTCGATTCGAGCGTACGGCTGTTGCATCTACGTGCGGTCGGAATCTGCTTGCGGAAACATTGGTGTTCATCTTCTCACTGCCAAGTCCAAGTAAAGAAGAAATCGCTTCCCAAACTGGAATTATGTGGAGCACATTTGTTGGCACAAGTTTACAACAAAATCAAGTGTATATTCGCCGAAGAGCCACATGCCGTATATTTCTGGTCGGATTCGCAAATTGTTTTACATTGGCTAAAACAACATTCAGTCACGTTATCAGCATTTGTCGGAAATCGAGTTTCTGAGATACAGGATTTGAGTTCAATCGGACGTTGGAGATTTGTACCAACGACATCAAATCCTGCTGACATTGTTTCTCGAGGTGCCACCACTTCTGATCTACAATCATCCATATGGTTCTCAGGACCAGCTTTTTTAACCCAACATCATGAACATTGGCCAACATCAAGCAACATCAGCAACATTGATATGCAAGTAATCAATGCCGAACAACGTAAATCTACTTTCGTCGCCACAATGGATCGTAACCATGTCCTGGAAAAACTAGCGAACATCAGCTCATACAATCGTTGTGTTCGCACTGTCGCGTACATGCTTCGCTTCGTTCAAATCACACATATGAAACGTAAATTCGAAACAACTTTGTCATCCGAGGAACTACGCAATGCATCCTATTGCATAATTTGGAACATCCAGCAATTATCATTCGTCGAAGACATTCGCCAACTGCAAAAAGATCAACCACTTAGAAGCCATCTAAAGTTTCTCAATCCTTTTCTAGATCGCTCCACAGGATTTTCACTTATCAGAGTTGGCGGCCGGCTGGACAACGTTGAGTTTGAGAACTTCGAAAAACATCCGATATTGTTGCCCAGTAAATCGCACTTCGTCTGGATCTATGTGCGGCATCTACATCTTCGCAACTGCCATGCTGGACCTAAAGCTTTAGTGGCACTCATTCGATTGGAATATTGGATCGTAAACGCCAGAGACTTGGCACGTCGCATCGTGCGCACCTGCATGGCGTGTGTTCGGTACAAGCCAAAATTGGAAAGGCAGCTTATGGGATCGCTGCCAGTGGAGCGCCTTCGACCGGAACACCCATTCCAACGCTGTGGTATTGACTTCTGTGGGCCAATAAATACGTATGTTCGCATACGAGGAAAGGGTCCCACAAAATCTTACTTGGCCGTATTCATTTGTTTGGCATCCAAGGCAGTGCACATCGAAGTGGTCTCTCAATTATCCACGAAGGCATTCTTGGCTGCACTCAAACGAATGGTTGCTCGGCGAGCGCTGCCCACTGACATCTATTGTGATAATGGAACTAACTTCGTGGGTGCAGCAAATGAGCTAAAGGCTTTGAAACAATTTTTGTTTGATCAATCTACTCAAGACGCAATATCAGAATACTGTGCTTCGGATTTCGTGTCGTTTCATTTTATTCCGCCCAGGGCACCCCACTTTGGCGGACTCTGGGAAGCAGCAGTTAAGAGCGCAAAGGGGTTGTTGCACAAGACGCTATCGAACACTCGCCTAACATTTGAGGAGCTCTGTACGATCACAACAGAGATCGAAGCTGTCCTCAATTCTCGCCCATTGTCACCTATGTCGCCTGATCCCAACGATCTATCAGCAATCACCCCAGGACACTTGTTAGTTGGAAAACCTCTTCGGGCGCTTCCTGAACACACGATAGCAACGCCTCATCTCAACAATTTGGAGCGGTTTGACGTGATAACCGCTGCTAAACAGCAATTTTGGCGTCGTTGGTCATCAGATTATATTCACGAGCTTCGGGCTCGAACCAAATGGACATCATCGTCGTCAAATCTCGCTATTGGAACCATGGTCATAATCCACGACGACAATCTTCCGCTTCAGCAATGGAAGGATGGTCATGTTCGAGTTGTTCATCTTCGTACAGCCAATGGCATCTGCTGTCGACCAGTACACAAATTGGCCACCTTACCGATGGAAGCCTGATGTGTTGAAAGCAGATCCTTTCAAGGTGGCCGGGATGTTTAGTCAAACTAATTTGTAATTTTAGTATATATCGATAGTTTTCACTATCGGATAGTTTTTAGTTGGAGATAATAACAAGAACAAGCAAGACTCGCACCTTTGTGTCGGTCAGAAAATAAAGTTGTTAATTAAAATAAAGCGACCATTACCTTTCCACTGATCATTGCACCCACCCTCAAAAATCAAATCATGTACATGCATAACAGAGCGGCAGCGGCTACCTGATCTTTCACTTGATTCTAGCACACAGGTTATAGGTTACACGTCTAGCACACAATCTCCTCCTTAAAAACACAATCCCGTACGCACACACAAGTGCTGCTGAGTGATCCTCCGCCTCATGTCAACCCACAATAAAAAAAAAGGGTCAGCCATAAATCTATACCCTTCGATCATAAATGTCTCATACGTGATCCCAAATCACACATTTTCCTAAAAAAGGTCACACCTGTCACTCCCCCACCCAAAAGCAATGAATTAGCAATTAAAAATGAAAAGCAATAAGCCACTTCCTGTCATATAATCGCCATTTCCCTACTACTGTGGGCATTCCACTCCGGGTTCGATTCCGGGTAATTGAATGCGCCGATGAGGTCTCAGCCGTTTGGCTGAAGACCGCAACATCGAGGCTACAATCGTGGAAGGGCGTGCTCCTTGAGTGCAAGGTGGGGGACGACATACCGTCGCCCCACTGCATCACGTTGTTCTGCCCCAGGAGTGTAGATCGGTCTATCGAATCCCTGTTGGTTCGCTGGGGAACCAGAACAGGATCGAGACCGACACCGTGTCAGCTGGAGCTTCCCCAGAAGTAGATGTTAAAGAGCATCAACACAGGGCTAGCTCAGGTAAACATCCACCGAGCTAAGGCAGCCTCGGCGGTCTTAGCAAGGATGTTTACCAACAAACACCTTAGGCTGGCCCTGGTGCAGGCGCCGTGGGTGAACAATGGCATTAAAGGCCTGTTTACAGCCGACTCAAAGATAATCTGGGATCGGAGAGATCCAGCACCCAGAGCTTGTATCATGGTAAGGAAAGTATTAACTTTACTATCGCTATGGTCATCGTGTCTGCATACTGCATTCGTAGAATTCATGTGCATTACTTGCGTGGCATGAATTTGTAAGTGCTTGCTCAGTGGCACAATGTCAGTGAAGAGCTGACTGCACACAAAGCAAGGTATGATCCGTATATAGCCAGTTGGTGGATATAGCGACGAATAATTCGAGGGCAGCATCGCCGAGGCCATTGGCATATTCGGGTTCTGGACACTCATGTCCAGTGGGGAGAGTGGCGGCGTTGCCAGAAGTAACGGCGATGTGCTTACATTGGCGTTCCCATTAAATGGATGACCACCAGTGAAAGGTGTTGGCAGATGGATTGGACCCAAGAACTTTGCGTTGTTACCATCGTCACTCTCGTCTTCACAGAGCGTGGACGTCGGACTTTTGGGCACCTGTTTAATTACAATTATTGAATGCAATTAGCATGACATCAATATTGAGTTAACTTACGAATTCGTGTTCCATAATTGTTCGGTTCTTATCGCAATCTAATTGAAATTTGACCTCTCTCGCTCCGGTCGAGATGTGCTTATTAAGAAATTTCACAAGAAACTAAGCTGTTTATTTAACCAAGCGTCTCTTATATATTCCACATACACAAGCGCAAAAACACACACACACATATATGTATATGCATATACAAATACATGCATGAGTGAGAGCCTACGATACGCTGGTTTTGTCCTGCTTTATCTTTAATTCTTTATTCTCGCATTTCTGATTTACGAACATATGTATGCCGAAGCATAGAGCGAAGAGCATAATGTTATTTTTGTAACCGTAAATCAATTAAAAAACAATAAAATGGCATATGGCGAACTTAGGTAGGCAATTATTTGAGGCAAGCACGAACAAGTTTGGGTTTTTGAAGAACAGCAAAGTTATATAAGTGGTTTATTTTATAAACTTGAGGTATTTTCGATTATATTAGAGGATATAGATAAACTCCAATTTGATTCAGCAATAATGAAGGGTATTTCGACTTTAAAAAAAAAATCGTTTCATATTATGCAAATTATCGTTTCTATTATTAAACATCGTTTCTTATTATGTTGTTTTATTGGCTTAATGAAAACTCTTTAACAACAATTGTGATTGACACAGTCCACACTTAGGTAGATAAGAGGTACAATATCAAAAATAATTTTATTGCGAAAAGAAGTCGGGCAAAAGCGAGTACTATTTCCGCTTGGCCGCTGCAACAATTTTTTGTCATAGACTTCCTTTGGCTTTATGTCATTATTTGCTCTGTGGTTCAATGTCAATGAAGAGCTGACTGCCACAAAAAGCAAGATATGATCCTTACACTAATGTTCAGCGCGGAGAGTAACGGTGTTGACTGAAGTAACGGCATTGTGCTCAGATTAAATAAATTGATGACCACCAGTTGACTATGTATTTTAATCTTCACAGATATTATGTTGGTATTGGCTGTTTATTAAAATATATTTATCTGTTGTAGTTGTCACGTAGTCAAATTAATAACTAGTTTAACTTACAATTTGAGTTCGTATCACTAACTATTTGAAATTTTGGCTCTATCTTCTTTCGCTCATTTCGAGCGGGTTTAGTCTACATATATATAGCGAACGGCCTCCACCCGGGAAGGTAAGCTGCGAATAATACGAGATTCCTGGTAAATAAGCAGTCCCGGACAAACAGCGGGTGCGATAATGTCGATCGTACCGACAAGGCGCTTGTGTTGCCGCCTTCCAAGTATAGCCTCACACATCCCCCCTATCTCCCTCTAAACATCCACCGAGCTAAGGCAGCCTCGGCGGTCTTAGCAAGCATGTTTACCAACAAACACCTTGGGCTGGCCCTGGTACAGGAGCATTAAAGGCCTGTTTACAGCCGACTCAAATGTAATCTGGGATCGGAGAGATCCAGCACCCAGAGCTTGTATCATGGTAAGGAAAAGTATTAACTTTACTAACCTTTTAGAATTCCTGGCTAGAGGCTGCGTTCCCATAGTAGTGTACACCAAGGGCAGCGCGGTCTCTATGGTCATCGTTTCTGCATACTTCGCAGAGGATGCACCCTGCCCACCACCAGAGGTTGAGAAGCTGGTGGAGTATTGCAGGATGCCGGTGCTCATCGGATGCGATGCCAATGCGCACTATACGATATGGGGCAGCAGTGACATGAATTTAAAAGGTGAGTGCCTAATTGATTTTATTTTTAAATATAATCTAGAATTAGGTAATGTCGGATCTGCACCAACATTTGTTACTAGGATCAGGGAAGAGGTGCTGGACATCACCCTGATCGGTCAGTCCCTAAAGCCTCACCTTAAGGAATGGCATGTTTCCCAAGAGGAATCCATGTCTGATCTTAGGACTATCCTATTTAATTTAAAATTATATACGGATATTAGTACACCAGGTCGCAACCCCAGGAGACCAACTGGGAAGGCTATAAGTCGACCTTAGCGCTCTACCTAGCCAACGGACTATCTGGTACAGCCGGGAATCCAATAGATGACCTGAGTAAGTGCATAATTGGTGCAAGTCCAGGGCACCCCACTTTGGCGGACTCTGGGAAGCAGCAGTTAAGAGCGCAAAGGGGTTGTTGCACAAGACGCTATCGAACACTCGCCTAACATTTGAGGAGCTCTGTACGATCACAACAGAGATCGAAGCTGTCCTCAATTCTCGCCCATTGTCACCTATGTCGCCTGATCCCAACGATCTATCAGCAATCACCCCAGGACACTTGTTAGTTGGAAAACCTCTTCGGGCGCTTCCTGAACACACGATAGCAACGCCTCATCTCAACAATTTGGAGCGGTTTGACGTGATAACCGCTGCTAAACAGCAATTTTGGCGTCGTTGGTCATCAGATTATATTCACGAGCTTCGGGCTCGAACCAAATGGATATCATCGTCGTCAAATCTCGCTATTGGAACCATGGTCATAATCCACGACGACAATCTTCCGCCTCAGCAATGGAAGCTCGGCCGCATCGAAGTACCTGAAAAGGATGGTCATGTTCGAGTTGTTCATCTTCGTACAGCCAATGGCATCTGCTGCCGACCAGTACACAAATTGGCCATCTTACCGATGGAGGCTTGATGTGTTGAAAGCAGATCCTTTCAAGGTGGCCGGGATGTTTGGTCAAACTTTATGTTAACAACACTTGTAATTTAATAAAACATCGATAGTTCACTGTCGAATTAGCCAAAGTTGTTATAAGAACAAGATCAAGTAATACGCGCACCTTTGTGCCAAAAAATAAAGTTTTTAATTAAAATAGTTTAAATACCGCCCAGACTTGAAGCCTCTTGTTTGCATAAAAAACGCTTTGTGCAACGAAACATAATATATTTTCATAAAGCACATGTATCTTAAAATTAAACTATATCAATAAGAATAAACAAATTTTAACATTTGTAAACATTCTATTTATAAATAAATAAAATATATTATAAAAATTAGAAAAAAAAGAAGTTATTTTATTTAAACATTTTAAACTCTACAAACCTAGGTAAGAAGCCCACAGGTGCACAAAGCAACGCAGGCTATTATTTCAAATTATTGTGAAATTAACATAAGGAGGGTCACTCAAACAGAGTGCACTGTAAAAGGAGAAGATCCAAACACGCGAAGAAGGTAGCAGCACTTGGCAAACGTACGTGCGAATAACGTACGTGCGAAGAACGTACGTGCGAAGAACGTACGTGCGAAGAACGTACTTGACAACAGTTTGCATCAGTAATACTTTAATTATTGTGTGGGAAAACATTCAGGTGTGAGGTGTCGCATGAGTTCTATACATTGACAAAAAGTGATAAAAGAGAAGCGAGCATTACCTTTCCACTGATCATTGCACCCACCCTCAAAAATCAAATCATGTACATGCACAACAGTGCGACAGCTGCTAGCTGATCCTCCACCTGATTCTAGCACACAGGTTACAGGTTACATGCCTACCACACAATATTCTCCTTAAAATTACAATCACGTACGCACACTCAAGTGCTGCTGAGTGATCCTCCACCTCATGTCAACCCACAATAAAAAAAAGGGCAGCCATAAATCTATACCCTTCGATCATAAATGTCTCATACGTGATCCAAAATCACACATTTTCCTAAAAAAGGTCACACACCTGTCACTCCCCCACCCAAAAGCAATAAATTAGTTCCAATAATGAAGCAATTAAAAATCAAAAAAGCAATAACCCGCTTCCTGTCATAGAATCCCCATTTCCCTACTACTGTGGGCATTCCACTCCGGGTTCGATTCCGGGTAATTGAATGCTCCGATGAGGTCTCAGCCGTTTGGCCGAAGACCGCAACATCGAGGCTACAATCGTGGAAGGGCGTGCCCCTTGAGTGCAAGGTGGGGGACGACATACCGTCGCCCCACTGCATCACGTTGTTCTGCCCCAGGAGTGTAGATCGGTCTATCGAATCCCTGTTGGTTCGCTGGGGAACCAGAACAGGATCGAGACCGACACCGTGTCAGCTGGAGCTTCCCCAGAAGTAGATGTTAAACAGCATCAACACAGGGCTAGCTCAGGTAGCCTCGGCGGTCTTAGCAAGGATGTTTACCAACAAACACCTTAGGCTGGCCCTGGTGCAGGCGCCGTGGGTGAACAATGGCATTAAAGGCCTGTTTACAGCCGACTCAAAGATAATCTGGGATCGGAGAGATCCAGCACCCAGAGCTTGTATCATGGTAAGGAAAGTATTAACTTTACTATCTCTATGGTCATCGTGTCTGCATACTGCATTCGTAGAATTCATGTGCATTATTTGCGTGGCATGCATTTGTAAGTGCTTGCTCAGTGGCACAATGTCAGTGAAGAGCTGACTGCACACAAAGCAAGGTATGATCCGTATATAGCCAGTTGGTGGATATAGCGACGAATAATTCGAGGGCAGCATCGCCGAGGCCATTGGCATATTCGGGTTCTGGACACTCATGTCCAGTGGGGAGAGTGGCGGCGTTGCCAGAAGTAACGGCGATGTGCTTACATTGGCGTTCCCATTAAATGGATGACCACCAGTGAAAGGTGTTGGCAGATGGATTGGACCCAAGAACTTTGCGTTGTTACCATCGTCACTCTCGTCTTCACAGAGCGTGGACGTCGGACTTTTGGGCACCTGTTTAATTACAATTATTGAATGCAATTAGCATGACATCAATATTGAGTTAACTTACGAATTCGTGTTCCATAATTGTTCGGTTCTTATCGCAATCTAATTGAAATTTGACCTCTCTCGCTCCGGTCGAGATGTGCTTATTAAGAAATTTCACAAGAAACTAAGCTGTTTATTTAACCAAGCGTCTCTTATATATTCCACATACACAAGCGCAAAAACACACACACACATATATGTATATGCATATACAAATACATGCATGAGTGAGAGCCTACGATACGCTGGTTTTGTCCTGCTTTATCTTTAATTCTTTATTCTCGCATTTCTGATTTACGAACATATGCCGAAGCATAGAGCGAAGAGCGATAGACGAAATGCTCAGAATGACATATGTATGTAAACAACCATGCTTCTTCCTCCTTCGTTAGTGTAGAGAAAGTGTTTACACATGTTTGACATTTATTGCCCCCTTTCCTTGCACATACAAATAATGTTATTTTTGTAACCGTAAATCAATTAAAAAACAATAAAATGGCATATGGCGAACTTAGGTAGGCAATTATTTGAGGCAAGCACGAACAAGTTTGGGTTTTTGAAGAACAGCAAAGTTATATAAGTGGTTTATTTTATAAACTTGAGGTATTTTCGATTATATTAGAGGATATAGATAAACTCCAATTTGATTCAGCAATAATGAAGGGTATTTCGACTTTAAAAAAAAAATCGTTTTATATTATGCGAATTATCGTTTCTATTATTAAACATCGTTTCTTATTATGTTGTTTTATTGGCTTAATGAAAACTCTTTAACAACAATTGTGATTGACACAGTCCACACTTAGGTAGATAAGAGGTACAATATCAAAAATAATTTTATTGCGAAAAGAAGTCGGGCAAAAGCGAGTACTATTTCCGCTTGGCCGCTGCAACAATTTTTTGTCATAGACTTCCTTTGGCTTTATGTCATTATTTGCTCTGTGGTTCAATGTCAATGAAGAGCTGACTGCCACAAAAAGCAAGATATGATCCTTACACTAATGTTCAGCGCGGAGAGTAACGGTGTTGACTGAAGTAACGGCATTGTGCTCAGATTAAATAAATTGATGACCACCAGTTGACTATGTATTTTAATCTTCACAGATATTATGTTGGTATTGGCTGTTTATTAAAATATATTTATCTGTTGTAGTTGTCACGTAGTCAAATTAATAACTAGTTTAACTTACAATTTGAGTTCGTATCACTAACTATTTGAAATTTTGGCTCTATCTTCTTTCGCTCATTTCGAGCGGGTTTAGTCTACATATATATAGCGAACGGCCTCCACCCGGGAAGGTAAGCTGCGAATAATACGAGATTCCTGGTAAATAAGCAGTCCCGGACAAACAGCGGGTGCGATAATGTCGATCGTACCGACAAGGCGCTTGTGTTGCCGCCTTCCAAGTATAGCCTCACACATCCCCCCTATCTCCCTCTAAACATCCACCGAGCTAAGGCAGCATCGGCGGGCTTAGCAAGGATGTTTACCAGCAAACACCTTGGGCTGGCCCTGATACAGGAGCCGTGGGTGAACAATGTCATCAAGGGCCTGTTCATAGCCGACTCAAAGGTAATCTGGGATGGGAGAGATCCAGCACCCAGAGCTTGTATCATGGTAAGGAAAAGTATTAACTTTACTAACCTTTTAGAATTCCTGGCTAGAGACTGCGTTCCCATAGTAGTGTACACCAAGGGCAGCGCGGTCTCTATGGTCATCGTTTCTGCATACTTCGCAGAGGATGCACCCTGCCCACCACCAGAGGTTGAGAAGCTGGTGGAGTATTGCAGAAAAGAGAAGATGTCGGTGCTCATCGGATGCGATGCCAATGCGCACCATACGATATGGGGCAGCAGTGACATCAATTTAAGGGGTGAGTGCCTAACCGATTTTATTTTTAAATATAATCTAGAATTAGGTAATGTCGGATCTGCACCGACATTTGTTACTAGGATCAGGGAGGAGGTGCTGGACATCACCCTGATCAGTCAGTCCCTAAAGCCTCACCTTAGGGAATGGCATGTTTCCCAAGAGGAATCCATGTCTGACCATAGCACTATCCTATTTAATTTAAAATTAAATACGGATAGTAGTACACCAGGTCGCAACCCCAGGAGAACGAACTGGGAAGGCTATAAGTCGACCTTAGCGCTCTACCTAGCCAACGGACTATCTGGTACAGCCGGGAATCCAATAGATGACCTGAGTAAGTGCATAATTGGTGCATTTGAGGACAATTGCCCGGTAGGGAAAAAGTTTATGGAAAAAGATGCCCCCTGGTGGAACGACAGTCTGGAAAGGCTGTGCGTCACCACACGTCGCCTCTTCAATAAAGCCAAGAGAGACGGAATATGGGAGCAATACCGCGAAAGCCTGACCTCCTATAATAAGGAGATAAGAAAGGCCAAGCGGAAGGCGCCAGGCTCCACAGAGCACTGGCGAAACGAACGCCTGATGCAAACCTTGCACTAAAGCTTGGGGATAATTACTTCATGAGCAACAATAAGCAAAGATTGGAATTACTCTTCGAGACGCACTTCCCAAGCTGCACACCCCTCCAGGAAGAGGCTATCGTAAGAGTGAGCAGATATAAACCGTCAACTGACGACTGGGCATGCGCAAAGTCGACAGTCACAAAGGAGAAACTAAATTGGGCAATTGGTACATTCCAGCCCTATAAATCTCCCGGAATGGACGGCATATCGCCAGCCTTCCTTCAAACGGGCCAGGACATACTCCTCTCCCATATTAGGCAAGCTCTAGTAAGTAGCCTAGCCCTCGGACACATACCGAGCGCATGGAGGAGAGCTAGGGTAATCTTCATCCCGAAAGCAGAGAAGAAAGATATTTCCGACCCAAAGTCCTTCAGACCCATCAGCTTGACATCGTTTTTATTGAAAACGTTGGAAAAGATGGTGGACTACAAAATTAGAAGCACTTTGCTTAAACAAAGGCCGCTGCACCCAACGCAGCATGTATATAGCGGAGTGTAGGGTGCCTTTGACAATACATCACACGATGCGATCAAGGACACACTCTCGAGAAGGGGCCTGGATCCTACCATCAGCAAATGGATTCTCGCACTGCTGCGATCCAGGCAGGCCACAGCATCAGTGCATGATAGTACCGTAACGGTCCTAACCACCAAGGGCTGTCCGCAAGGGGGGGTTGTCTCCGCTACTCTGGAGTCTGTTGGTAGACGAACTACTAAACAGACTCACTAACAGTGGTATTCAATGCCAAGGTTATGCCGATAACATTGTTATCATAGCGCGAGGAAAATTTGAAGAAACTCTCTGAGATATAGTCCAGTCTGGGCTAAGGATAACGTATGACTGGTGTAGGGAGGTCGGACTCAACCTAAACCCTACAAAAACAGTCATCGTCCCCTTACCAGACGACATAAGCTACAGAGGATGATGCAAATATGGCTTGAAGACTTAATGGAGCTCACGCCACTCCACCACATCATAAGGCTTAAGCAGAAAGCGACGCTGTTAAGGATGTCAGCTGAAGGGGTTGGAGCAATCACATCCTAGACAATAAAGATGCCCAACTCCTTTCAAATGAACACCTGATGTTGCAACACCGACGGATCACTCACCAACCATGGCACAGGTCTTGTTGTGGTGGGCCCTCGGGTGTCATGCCATGAATCCCTAGGAACGCACACTAGCATATTCCAGGCTGAGGTATGTGCGATAGGAAGATGTGCGGACTTTAACTTAAAACGTAACTATCGGAATACAGATATATCCATCCTATCCGATAGTCAAGCAGCATTAAATGTAATAACGGGGACTAAAATAACATCAAAGATAGTCCAGGAGGCTCGTTCAAAGCTAAACCTACTTGGGACTCACAACAGGCTTGCCCTGCGATGGGTAACGAGGCGGCTGATAAGCAGGCGAGAATGGGGGCAGAAAGGTCCCTGATAGGACCAGAACCGTATTGTGGCATAGGTAGACAGCAGAGCTGGTTGGAGCCAGTAGGCCTCCGGCAAGCCAGATGTCTCCTAGGTGGTTATAATTTTAAGCGATTTAAGCAAGTTATAACCATGGGAAAGAACAATCTTAGGATACTTACCGGTCTAATGACACTGTTGACTAAGAAGTCACCTAACTAGACTAGGTATATATAGTAGCGATCTCTGCAGGTTCTGCGAAAGAGAAGAGGAATCCTCGATACACATCCTAGCAGAATGTGTCGCACTAGCTAGAAGAAGATGTAGCATCCTATGGTTGCATGTCTTGAATTCTAGAGACATAGAAGATCTCAACCCAACAACGATCGAGTTGCGGTGCAACTTCCCCAATAATAATAATAATAATAATAAGGATTGTATAAAAATAAAGTAATCTTTATTAGTCAAATTATCATTTGAATTATCAAATATTGATTTCAAGTCTTATTATCAGCTTGAAGCAAAGTTGTCTCCATTAAACTTTGGTCTTTTTTTTTAATCAATTGTATTCGAGTGGCATAAAATGGTTCTTCTTATCAACTTATATATTTTCATTAATATTTTTTTATTAATTTAATTTCATAATATTTAAATTTATTTATTTTGTGTGTGTGCTGTTGTTCATGACCAATTTGTTAAACGCACTAACTACGGTTAGAATTAAAAATAATTATGTAAATTATATTTATGTTTAGAGACTACGCGCTTAACATTTATGGCCGGGTGCTAAAATATTTACAGATTTGTATGACCATTAAACCATCTCATACGTTCGCGCCTGAGATAAACGAGCGTTAAGCAAAATTCCATATGCTGAGCTACTATATTTACAATTGCAATCGAATAATGATTAATCTTAACCTTATACTAGGGTAGCCATTTAGCGATAACGTATGAAATTTGTAATCCTTTCATTTTGTTTGCTTTAGTCATACAATAGACATTAGAACTAGTATTAATTGTAATTGAGTAGTAAAATATAATGATGGTTATTTGTATAATGAATATGACTTTGCGATCCAATATCAATAGCTGCATATATATATGTGGCTGCATATATGCCAGTTATCGATTTGCCTGATAGGAACATGAGCCCTTCTCTACAAACAAATTGCTTATGTGCCGTAAAACAATCCGACAATTTATGTGTAAAATATGTGTGTAAAACTATATAGATAGTTACATATATATATACATATAAATGTACATATATATATTTATATCTATATAATATATATACCGCTGGAGTATGTTTTTGTGTGTGTGCATGAAATGTTTATAAATTAACATTAAAGATGATTCTCAGTCAGTAGCACCTCATCCAAAATGCCTTCGCTATGAGTGCGTAGAAAAACTTCTTGGATCGGCTGATATTAGGTATTGGATTGCTCCAACGGCCCATTGGATTCTGTAAGGGATAAAATGGAATTGCATTAGTTACAAGCACAGCAAACAAATAAAAGACAAATCTAAATGTTAGGGACGACAGTCAAAAGCGGCGATATCTCAACAATTATATCTAACATTGTTTTGGACGAAAAGAAAAAACAAATATTACTAAGAGAGCGTGTGGCAAGTGTGGCGTGTGTATATGTGTGTGTGTGTGTGTGTAGATTATGGGAGTACTTGCAGTTCCTCTCAACATGGATGTTAGTTAAGAACTCGTAACAAGAACGATAAACACAATTTTGTGAGCTCAAAGTGAATTTTTGGCAAAAAATATATTTATATATATATATATAGCTACCAGAATAACTAGAATCTGTTTGTTGCCTAAAGGTTGTCACGCTCGCTCTTGCAAAGCAATATCTGTGCATATAACCAGACAATCCGATTCGAAAATATCTTTCTGGTTCTGCGGTGCCGACAATCTCAAATCATTTGCTATTGGGAAACACACAGCGAAACACAACAACCAAAAAAAATTGTTTGAAAATTTAGAAGAGTGCAACAAGAGAGGACCGTATGAACGAATGCTTCTTACCCAAAGCGGCGCGAGTCGCATTGTTTTTGTCTTTGATTATATAGCAGGCGGTGATCAGGAAGAAAATACCACCAATAACTTCGACAAAGGTGGTGGAGAACAGCGAAAACTGCAGCGACTTAAAGGACAAAAGATCATCAGAGGCCTGAAACAAGACATATTTTATGTATTCGATTATAAATATTACAATTGCTGCAATTAAAATAAAGTGCTTACCTGAGACGTAATGGTTTCTGTGGCATTTCCGAGCACTTGCGACAGACTCTGCAAGCCCTGCACGGTGCTGGGACTGTTGGGCGATGAGCTCATATGATTCTTAATGGCAACCGATATCTATAAGAAGAAGACAAGTTTTGCATTTAGAACTTCAGACAGATGAGAGGAATTCTGATAATAGAATTCCGTAATTACTTACAGCGCCCACCAGATACGGACTGCCGGCATCGCCCAGCGCGTGGGAGATGAGAATTTGAAAGGCTTCGGCCGTTGAGCGACGAGTTGGCACCACGACATACTATGAAAAAGAATGGGGAGAAGAAGCAAATCAATTTAGTTCCATACCAAAAAGCTTTAAATGAATACAAGCAGTGTTACCAACAAAAACAACAACAACAACAACTATTAACATAAAGCATAGCAGGTGATAAGCAGTGTAAAATGTGTGTGCGTGCGTGCGTGGCTCGGGTCACTGCAGAATCAGTTTGACAAGCAAAAAGCTCAAACGAGATGGCGCCACTTTAGAATGAGGCGTTGCCCGGCTGGACTTGGTTCGTGTCATCGATTAAACTTGAATCAAAGTGGGTTCAGCTGCGTGTGCGCTTGGGAACAGTTCTATACGCTCGACCGACCGACCGACTGACTGAACGACGGATCAAATCTTGACTGTGGCAATATGTTGTCTACATTTTCTTTACATTTGTACAACAAAAAATCAAATACTACTACACATTAACTGTTTACTGTTATAATCAAATGAGTAGGCGTGTGAGTATGTATGTGTGTGTGTGTGTCGCTTGTGTGTATAATCAAAAATAATAAGCAAAGCAGATTATAAACATCGCTTCTTACGCATACAAAATAAATAATTGAAAGCTTTTCTTTCTTTTTTTTTTGTTTGTTAGATAATCGTGTTGAAAAACCATTTAAAATTTCGTTATTTGAGTTTGTATTTTTTGTCTACTTTTGTGGACAGCAGCAGGAAGCGTAAAAAGAACGGAATTGTTGCGATCCCAAAATAGCAAACGAAACCAAACTGTGTGGCACAGTTTTTAAATTTGTGCTACGTATTTGCCCCATGAATATTTACAGCTGATCATCATCATCAACTTCAACGTCAAAATCAGCTGTAAATTGAAACGTGACTGAGTCAGTCAACAGAAATCATAATAAAAATATCTCATTGCGAGGGAATTTCAAGTTTAATCAAACTCCAACAGAATGCTCTGTGTGTCTGTGTTATGAGGTTTAATTTAGATTTCGCTTTTGGAGGGTTGAAAGTGAAGCTGCATACTTTATGTAATTTTAGTGGATTGTCATTTTGGGGACTGCCCCCTCGGGATTATTGTGCCATTTTTGGGGGTGGCTCGTGCCCCAGCAGCAGTGGAGCAAGGGTGCCCCATTACTAGGGTATTACGAATGCAAAGAGTGTAAGCAATAATAAGAAGAAGAGATATATTAGTATTATCCTCGCAGATTGTGTGAGAGGTAACCAATGCTAGCCCCGTTTATTTTATTTAAGTTTGATGTAGAAATGAAAGAAAACTCCTTCTGGTGGAAAAGGAGATGAAAAACCAAAACCAAAAGTTGTTAAAATGCTTGCAACAAACTTAAAAATGTAAAATACCAAATACCAGACATTTACGAAAAGAGTTTATAGTCAATTACCAAGTAAATATATAAATTAAATAACCTCTGAAAGGGTAAATCAATTAAAACCCCCAAAAAAAAATGTAATTACAGCGTAAGCAAAAATGTGTACGTATGTTGTGTGTGTGTGTGTGAGTTTAATGCGTGGTGTGTGTGCTTATTATAACAGTAAAAAATTAATAATTTTTACAAATGAAAACGAGACATGAAACTGTTTGATTACTCTAATAAAAGTGCAGGATTACAAAAGCCCAAAATAGTTAATACATTCTATGTATAAATAGATGGTTTTTTTTTAGATACAATTATATCTTTTGCAGTGATGTTAATTGAAATTTTGGTTAGGAGTTTGTGATCGGAGATCTGATTGTTGATTATTTGTTGTCTTACCAGTAAAATGTCCGCAACAATTGCCCAGTTCAAGTTTAAAGCTAACTGACCGAAAAATATTAAAATATATGTGGCAATCGTGTAGCGAGAAACGACTAAACAAGCGCCAGTCAGCAGCGGTGCGCTAAGCAGGAGGCCAACAGCGCAAATAACGGGATCGGCGGACGGATAGCGTTTCTTAAGCGCTTGCGATAGATATGAGCCCATTGGCACGCCCAGCAGCCCAGCAATCATGGTTATAAGCCCGAATTTGAAGGCAACGCTAAATATTTCAATCGAATTGGATTTTTTTTTTTTTTTGGGTTGTTGATAAAAACAGCAAAAAAAATTTGGTTAGAAATGTGCAAGGTAAAATGAGTTTAAGGGGCGTTAAGGGGATTTGTTGTTGTTGTTGTTGCTGCTGCTGCTGTTGTTGTTGCTATCATTTATCGGCAGACAGTCTTACCAGTAAGATGTCGGCCACAATGGACCAGCAGAGATTGAGCGCCACCTGCGCAACGAACACAAACAGGTAGCAGAGTGTTCCACTCGAGCGCGGTATAATCAAGGCGATAAACACCATCGGAGCCGATATGAAGAGTCCAGTGGCGCAGATGTAGGGATCTCCGTTCTCGATCCGGCTGCGAAAGTGCTGAGCCAGCACAGAGCCCATCGGAACACCGATAAGGCCAGCGGCCATCGCAACAAGTCCAAATATGTAGGAGACACTTTTCGTTTTTTTTTTTGGAATGAACAACAACGTATAGTGGCTACTAAAAAAAAGTTGGGGCCGGGTTGGGGTCGAGGGGCTGGGGTTAAATACTTACTCATCCAGTTGAAGATCTTCATTGCCGGGCTGCATCTTGAGACCAGAATGGATGAAGGTAGGTCCCCACCAGGCCAGGGCGCCGGTCACGAAAGCGACGCATGTGAATCCCGCCGTGGAGAACATGAACGAGCAGTTCTTGGACAGCTCCTTGATGTCCGTCATGAAGCTGGTGCGCGCCAAGTGGGAGGTGCCCTCGCTTTCGCCGCGCTTCGGATCCCTGATCAGGCAGACGAGGATGACAGCAGCCACGCCCAAAATGGGCGTCACTCGTAGAGCCCATCGCCAATTGTTGGCCAAATGCGCCGTCTTTGAGCCGACAATGTAGCTGCGGGTTGCACAAGAGATGAGTTGATTAGTTACGTTATAGGGGGCATAACACATGTGGCATGTGGCATGAGACATTTGCTGCATTGGCTGTCAATTGAGCCCTGAGATTCTAGCAATTGACCCCACTTAAAAAAAGCAGCGTTTCTTAATTGAGTTAAAATAATTAAATACTCAATAACTAAATTAAACAATTTATTCACAAATTAAACTTTAAACTGCCCCCAAAAGGTGAGCAAACAAAACAAATTGTCGGCCAATTCACTCAATATTTCTCACGACAGATTCTAAACGAAACTTTGCACCCCATCGCAAGTTTCCAGGCTGGTGGCACCCACAGCACGTGATGAGGCGGACTTGCTCGAGACTCAGACTCAGACGAGTACTGATAACGAGAGGTCGGTCAATAATAACCTTGTCTTATTTACTATTTATTTGGAGCACTACACTCAGAAAAAATATCGGCCTAGATTTTAGTAAATCACCCTAAAAAAATAGAAAGTTGTTCTTTAAGAAATAAACTCTAAATATTTGGCTGCAAATTTTTAAAATTTTATAAGGCCTGCCCTAAATTGACAATGCCAAAAATATTCCTATATTCTACATTTTTTTTTTAGAAATATTTTAAATTATCAATAAAATCATTTCTAAAAATTATAAATTGAAAATCCTCATTTTAGAAAAAAATCATTCATAATTTTCAGAAACAAGTAATAAGATTTACTGGCTCGACTTTCTTAAAAGTAGAGCAAGCCACTCAAATCGAGAATCTCCGTTCTTTCAAATGAATTTATAAGCTATTTAAAATGTGTGTGTATGGGGGAAGTCTAAAAATACGAATGCTTAGTAATAATATTGCTAATAGACTAATTCTTCAATAACCTGGAAATTAGACATATTCTTTCTTATTTTCAGATAAATCCACCCAGAAACTAAAGTATAGTACGATCATACATCGTTGCTTAAGATCCACTTCTTTATATATCTTACATCTGCAAAGGTATTTAATCATCAGCATGCCGAAAGATAACAATTAATTCGCATTAAGTGTATATAATGCAGATAATAAACTTACCCCAAACCAGAACCAACGGGTATGGCAAAGTAGAACATTGCCAGCATTTTGGAGCGCATGCTATGCACAAACAGATCGGAGATGATCGTTGGCGCTATGGTGCTGTAGGAAGCCTCGCCGATTCCAACCAGTGCACGGAACGTGATAAACCATCCAAAGCTGCCCATAAAGGAACCAACTAATGTGGTTGTCGACCACAAGGCCACGCCCACGGCCATTAGCCAGCGCCTTGAATACCGATCGCCCAGATAGCCAAAGAGCGGTGCGAATATCATATAGGAGATGACAAACGCTGTCTGCAACAGTCCCGCACTATCATTGTCTATGCTGAATTCTTTTTGCACCTCCGTTAGCACTCCTGCAAATCAAAAGAAAAATTAATACAGTTTAGCCAGATAAACGATTATGCATTTAACGATTTACTGTTTACTGTTGAGAGTGGCGCGTGATTGTTAAATGTGGCTGGGCGTGATAATTGCTTAACCACATATAACAGCCGCATATGTGGCGCTTTACGTAAGCGAATTAACAGCAGACTATGCAACAAACAGCTTCCAAAGATACATTTACAGATACATAATTCATAAATTAAATTCGTAAATTCTTGATTTGAAAAATATATGACATGATCTAACTCACGTGACGTATTCAAATTCAGTCAAGCAATGACACATTGAAATTCATTATAATTAAAAAATGTTGTCTCTTAATTGCTTAATAGTGAATCATCAATCTTTTTAAGACTAATTGCTAAAATGTAAACAAATAACGGAGCTAGGCAAACGAAATTACCGTTCTGCTTATCGAAATTGTTTCGACTATCAGCTTTGCCAATGTCATGTGTTAAAAATTGTATTCTATTTTGTTTTTGTTTTTGTTTTTAACTGATAACACAAAATCCGGACATGCTAACAATTTTTTTTGGCTAATTATCTTCTACTTCCTTAATATATATATACATATATACATATGAGTGTGTGTATAGATAGAATTCAAATTAAAAGACGGATATGCGACTCATTAATTTAGAATATTAATATCATCGACACGACCTAGCCAATAACTCTTCAATGTATTTCCTACTATTTATATGTGTTTGTATAAATATTTAACGGGGCTTCACAAATCAAGGGAAACTGAAAAGCTACGTGCATTGGCATTTAACACAGCCGGAGTCAACAACTAACGGAAATATGTGCCACGGATTCGTAGCAATTCCCAATAGCAAAACCAAAATATTTAAAAAACCAAAGATGATCAACAGCACAGTGGTGTGAGATAGGGCAGGGGAATGACGAGGGGAAAGGCCGCAAGGCGCCGTCATTCAAAAGCGATACATGGCCGAAAAGCTCAACAAGTTGTACAAAAGAGTAGACAAAAAAGCCGAACGCTGAGCGCTCGACGACGTGGCACGAAGTCAGACGAAGTGAATCAGCAGCCACAAGCATTCGTATGACGGTTTTGTTGTTTAAATACGTCGGTTTCTGGGTCTTTTGCACTTTTCGCTTTTCGAGAAATTTATCGTACGATGTTTTTCGACCAATCAGCGTGTTTGTTTGGCCAGTGACGTAACAGTGTGCGGCCGCCAACTGAGCGCCACGCGATACAAGCAATGTGGGCTGTGCAATCACACACAAATGTTTGTAAACACTTATGTGTATGTGTGTGAGAAAGAGCGCAATTATTTACAGAGGCAGAGAGTATAAAAATGACAAGGCTCACTTTTGTTTATGGCTGTGCAGATAGAATAGCAAAATCAAAAAAGATGTAAAGAAAAAACACGAACAAGAATGCGATCGGCATATTTTTGCCGGTTATAGAAACTTGCGCGTAAAGAACCTGTTTATGCTCTCTTTTCGACTCTTCCTCTCTTTTTGACAGGTTCTGTCTCTCTCTCTCTCTCTCTTGTTGCTAGACGGAACCTAAAAAACTTCCAGTTAATAGCAGTAACTTGGCTGTAGGCGACAGTTGTTGGTTGCCAAGAATTAATACTGCTTGTGTCAAGTCAGTCACTGCTCTTGCCCCTGCCTCATTAATATGAATGAATGAAAAAGTTTCTGCTGAGTTGAAAGCGATTGTGACTGGCCTTGAAAATATCACACGAGATGCAACCGTCAAGCTAAGTCTGCAGTGTATTTTGAGTTTGTTTCAAAAAGCATTACATAAAAATGTTTAAGCGCCGTTTCTTATAATTTTACTGTTTTATTTTTATTTTGGGAAAGCTTGCTTTTCACACATGCAACTTTCTTTTGTAAGCTCCAAGCATGATGGAAGAAAATAGAAATCGTTTTAAAGAAAAAAGCTGCGCGCATCGATAATCATGACAAAGCTAAAGCTTATATTCATATTCAAGCACAGCTTCCTCTCTCAATGTTTACACCTCTCTTGCCGCTTGCTGTTGTTGTTCTTTACATATGCTAGTTTATGTTGTTGTTGCTAATTGTGTTTGTGCTCTTTTTGCAGTTCGCTCTTGTTGTCGCCGACTCTGTCCGTCTGTCTTTGTCACTGCCGTCGTCGTTTACCTTTGCCGGTCATTGACATAGAAAATACAAAAATAATGCAAAAAAAATGCAACACAAACCACAAAATTACATATTGTGAAATAGAAAGAGAGAGAGAGAGATGGATATGCATATGTCCCTATTTAATAGGTAATTATGTACATACATATGCACACATACGTATGTACAAGCAGGTACAGGTGCAAGAAGGTGCAACAAGCTCATTAGCACATATAAATGTAATAACATTATATATTTATGTAAAATTGTTGTTGTTAAAAGTCTGTAGTGCAGCCCATTGAACTGTTAAGTACAGTGTGACCAGCACTTTAGAAAACAAAAAGTATTTAAACTTGCCAATCAATCTCTGTTGAACCTCACTTTTATTTCAGGCTACCTAACCAAATGTCACAAAATGCACCCACATGTTTATTTGGCCTCCGCACAGAGGTACGGCCGACTTCGACTTCGCACCTTCTGTCGGGATGCCGCCGATAAGTAAATGGTTCCACGTGCAGCGTCATAAATAAGATAGGACTAAGATATTGCATATTCTCAAGGCGTAGACCACTCTTAGATAAGTATTGATTGCTTAGGTCGTCAACTTGTGAATTTAGTCTAGATAAGATAGAAGATAAGAAATAATAGCGCCGCTGTATATATAATTCTTCACTGCTACTCAAGAAATTAGTACAAAATAAGTTCTTTTTGTATTCACATCTCAGCAGCTCAATTTCTTAAAGTAACGATTTCCCGAAATTATGTTACTAATGATGGCATATTCATGAAAATTTACATAATGTAAATTATGAGATAATTGTGACTCAACGCTATGGGCGCTATGGGCCGCTTAAATAGATCTTGCAGTGAAATTTAGCTCATGAAACGAAAGTTTTGTCTGGGAATTCAAGAGGCAGTTTAAACAACAATCAAAAATTGTTATGCAAAAAATAGTCTTGAATAAAATGCACAATTCATACCCAAATGATAACGATACAAAGACGACGCATTTATATTTAAATTTTCCAACTATATCACGTAATATTTTTGCGATTTAGCAGCATCTGGGCAACAAGCGATTATGTTTTTAGTACAAATTCAAGTTAAATTTTAAATGCAAGCGTCACAGCACAAAACTGCTGACAATTATTGAGCCAAGTATTTTATATGATTTTTTGTTTGTTTTTGTTGCTTTGGAAAATGGCCAAAAGATTACGTCGAAAGGCAGCAGCTAGAGAATGGCCTGTTTTATATGTATTTGTATTTGTATATGTGTGTTTATGTTCACATATATATTTAGATTTAAATATGTATCTTTCAAAGCATATGAAACAAAGTTCAGTGCATGTCGTTTATATATTTTATTTTTAAGCCAAAAATGTCAACAGCTGTCATCAGAAGATTTTTGCTTTTGCCGAGAGAATGAAAGGCAATATTGGGAATGTGAATTGCACAAATGAATTTACTTAACAACAATAAAAGATCAGGCGATATGATGCGATATGTGTACAATAAAAATTAACAAAATAAATGAAACAACACAACAAAAAAACAAAACCAAAAACAAAAACAAAAAGTAACCTGATCGAGTCATCATCATACGATTATTTAAAAGTCTGAGCAGATTTGATGCGCTCATGTGGGGTCAAAAGCAGAGGCCAACTGTGGTTTGCCATAATAAGCAAATGTATCAAATGTATATCATTAAGCATACCCAAACATCGGGCGATGTAACACCCAAGTTATGCGTCGAGCACCAGTGTTCAATATGGCTAAATGTTTCTCAACACATCGCCGTCGCCTTAATGTTAATGAGCTGACGGTTTGAAATACGTGTGGAACTGAAATACGAATGCAAAAATATACATTTTGGACAAATGAAGGCTATTGACTATTGTAGAGCAAATTTATATCGCGTGGCTGAATACCGTTCTGGCCACATTTCGAGAGGCCAATATCTAATATCTACGTGGCACACACACCTGCTGCACTCTGCTTAAATGTATTAAATTTCAATTTACGCCCACACAGCCAATAACTGTTGATTATGTGTGACAACTGGTGGTTAACTGACAACGCTTAACTGATACCGACTTATCAGCAAGCAAGTGCACGTATCCACGGCAGTTCGCAGATGGGTTAACTATCTAATAACTTATATTTGTTTATTTTATTGGATATAAAAATGTAATTCTTATTTGCAATGCTTATATTAGCATAAAGTTAAGAGATCAGGCTTGAACGTCCCTTGGGGAAAACACTGAGATTGAGCAACCAGTTTATATATTAACAATCACTTGAACGTATATTTATTTAACTTAGCAACTGATTGCAGGCAACCCTTAATGCATGATTCTACCATTCTAAATAAGTGAAATGCCAACAAACGCATATGGGGAGAATCGTTTACTAATTATGTGGCCACTCCCGCAGTGAACCATCGAGAGAGAGAGAGAGAGAGAGAGATATGTGTGATTGTGACTGACTCTGCTCTGATTGTGAATTATGAATAATCGCAAAAGTAATAAGCAGCATGACGGATATTGTATGTATGTAACACTTATCGACACCAGTTTGCCCATATAAGTATTTATTTAATATATTATATAAATAAAATACAATTTCCTGAGTGCTTGGTCATGAGTTTCCTACGTATTACTGATTAAAAAATCATACGATTTGAGCATTTGGTAGCCCATTACAGGCTTAACGAAAGTAATTTGCAAAAGCCAGAGTCTTAGTGTTGGTTAATGAGTTTCGGCGCCGTTATTGTTGCATTACTGTACAGTTGACTAACAATCATTGTACAATTCAAAATTGTCATGCATATTGGCTTAACATAAAAAAAACACATGAGAAATTAACCAGTCATGTGATTTTTTTAAATGTCAGTGTTGGTTAACGGCCTTGGATTCTTAATGCACTGTTATCAATGGCAAGTTTAATGATTCGCTGCTTTGCTGCGCAAACTGCTGATCTGGCTTTAAAGTAAAACTTCAGCAGTGACGAACAAGTTAAGAGCCAAACAAATTCAGCTGGCAAAGGTTGAATATGCATGACTTATTAATTTCATAACCCAATTGCATATAGATAAAGTAAATCACATTACACCAGATGTCGACAGTAAATTATCGTTTGAGACGAACAACACAACTGGTTTAGTGCTAGTTTCCTCATTTTTTAAGTGGTTAACAGCAGCTAACCCGGCTAGCGTAATCGTAATCGCAGTTAACTCGCTTACATTTGTTTGCCTTAAATGTAAGTGCAAAACAGAAATGATTAACGCAATAATCACGCCATATGACTGAAATGAGTATAGACCGTAATGCTACACAGCTCCCTCTCCCCGTAGTATTCAATGTAAGTTGATAAGCGGCAAAACGCAACTGATTATTATGCGTCTCTCTCTCTGTCTCTTCGGTTTGTAAACATAAACGTGGAAAATTCCTTTGAATAGTTTTGCTGGGTGTGGTTGTGTGTTGTTAGCTGTAATAAATAATTTCGACTTTTATAAAACACCTAATTGTATACAAAATTGCATGATTTATCAATTTCAAAATCGTTTGTGTTTAAAAGCCAAAAAATGCATAAGGAAATTTTTGAACGCATTAAAAAAACGCCCGATTCCAATTTCTGGAAGAAATCTTATAAATATTTTTAATTTTTTTGTTAAATTAAATTTGATCCTTAATTAATTAACTAATAAAAAATAATAATATATATACATATATATAAAGTTATAACCTTTGATCGAATATACCGAATGAGTTTCCATCACGCCATGTCAGGCGCCCTTCGCAAAAGTGTTAAGATTGTACGAAATTTAACTAGATTGTTGATTGATTGTTTTGCACTCAGTTCAAAACTTGTGAATAAGTGCAGAGTGCAATAACAACAATAACAAAATTAGATAAGAAACACGTTAAGGCTGGTCGTATGATTCAAGCATGTAAATGTGATTAGTCATCTCAGCATTAAAATTTGTCTGTTAACGTCACACTAGATACACAATGTTTACATACTAGAAGCTGTGACGTAACAAACATAATCGCATTTGTTTTGCATTATCAGTTAAGAGACATATATATAGAGATAGAGAGAGAGAGAGGGCGAGAGAGTGGAAGACGCCCAGTGTTAGCAGAAGAGTTTCAGCTTCAATTAGGGAAAGTGACGTAGCTGTCAGCAATTAGCGCCGCAGCATGCGGGTCACACTTAACATTATAAAATTGGAATAGAAATTTCTCTCCACAATTAAATTGGAGTTGGTCGTACAAACTTACCCGCAATTGTGAAGCGATCCATGTAATTGATGAGATTGACAAAGCAAAGAACAATAACGGTAAACCATTGCTGCCGATTGATGGAAGAGAGACGCCCAGAAGGCTCTACTGCATTGATGCCATTCCCACGTAGACGAAGTCGCTCCATTGACTCCGAATCGGATGTCACCAGCTGCTGTGACGAATATGTCGCAGGTAGTCCACTTGCGGCAAAGTTAACGCTGCTCTCGCTGCCGCTGCTGCTGTTGCTCATAGCCGGATTATCCATGGCGGCCGCGGCAGTTGGAAGCGGTTGATACGACTGATGATGTTTCTGCGACATTCACGTGCCTTGCACTTGCACACAATTCACCAACAACAACAACAACACAACTCAACTCGAAAGTTTCCTTTTTCGTTTTTGTTTCAGCGAGCGATAATACGAAAAGTATTTTTGCAATCTCTCTCTCTCTTCCACACACACACAAACACACAGGCACACAGATGCCGCGTAAAAGCACACGCGATGCACGAAGTTGAGTGGGAAGCGAGAATGTGAAAATATGTGTTGGTGGCAGATTTCTATTTGTTCACTTTAAAATACTTTGGCAGCGTTTCAATTCTTTGATAACTTTTTGTTCTTCTCAATTGGAAAATTAATTTGCGTTTTTCAATACGTGTGAGTATTCTTATTATTTTGCAGTGTTGACTAATCGAATGCGGCGTTTTCTTATATATGCATTTGCAGTGCTTCTTTTATATATTTCTTAACTTTATTTCCGCGACACACCCGCACTGACTCAACAACTTGAAACAACTATAGAATCGATGGCATTTGTAAGCAAAACGCTTGCTGAACTGTTATTAACAGTCTGCTATCAAGTCGATTTTTACAGCTGTCTGCTGTTAACTCACATGTATGGATTATTTAGCAGGCTGGCAACTCTTATTTAGTATCGATATATACGAAAGCGATATATGAATGCAATTCTTATCGGCGCCATATCTTTATCGTATATTTAAATCTGACCGAGTTGTGCTTTAATGTGTAATTTGTAAAAATTATGTGTTTTATATGATTAATTAATAGTTAATAATAGATACATTCTATTCAATGTCCATTTCATCTAAGCGTCCGCGTACGCGATTCTTGCGTTTATGCTTTTTTGTGGGCGGAGGCAGAAAACTCTTGAGAAAATCGATGGTTGTCAAAATAGTCTCCGAGCTCACATTTCCAATGTAGTTTTTGTCGAAATACACAACTGGCACTGGCGATTCCGTCGAAACCAACTTGTCGCAATTACAACGCTGACCCTCCAGTTTCTGTACATCCAATGTTTCCACATCTGAATCATTCGATTTATCTGCAAATGCAATATTAATTCAGAGCAAGTTATTATTAATAATATACGATGACTTACCAAAAATTGGTCTAAAACATTCTTTCACCTGTATCCACTTGGTGCAAAATTGCTTTATATAGCTGTCGTTTTGAAGGAAGAAATTCTTCGAGGCGCTATCCACACGATCTTTCATAAAACCCGGCACATAGGGCCACTTACCCTTGGCGGCATAGAAACAAATAATATCTGATATGGGAAACACATTAATATTATTCATATTTTTGTTAGAAATATACACTAATAAAAGGAGAGAGATTCGATATGTAGAAAATTCTGCTTGCCTGTTAATATTATTTAAAATGAAAAAATATGAAAAGAATATGATTAAGAAAGCCAATCTTATGTTTAAATTGTATTTATATTTTAACTGATATGGGAAACATATATATATTTTTGACGGAAATAATATAAAGGAGACATACGAGTATTTGAAATGTAGAAAGAAGTTTTGCTGATTAGCGAACTCAAATTCATGTTTTAATGATATTTATTATTTGTATATTGGAAATAATATTTGTTTTATGTTCGTTTGAAAATTGGGTTTAATTCATTTTTGAAATATATTTCCTTTTGAGATTACTCACAGGGCACATGGAATAGATGGAGAAAGGTGCGCTGATAGTCCAGACTGGAGACGAGATGAATTCCACTGGGTCGACTGCTTTTGGATTTGGCTGTAAGGTTCGCTGAACGTGGTGGCATTCTCCTGAATGGAATCTCCTCCACACGCACACTTTGCAAATATGCCTCGCTCATCGTGAGCAGAAATCCCAGAAAAAATAGCGGTAAAATCCAAACAATTAATTTGTGTCCCAATTCCATGTTGAACCAAACACTTTGCGCTACCAACTGCAACTGGCCAAGAGCTGGTCGTGTGCCAAATGGTTGCCTGCGGGATGGCAAGGACTCGGCTCTATTGATTTTAATTGAGCTGCATGTTGACATTAAGCGACATGGACACTTTCTCGCCTGGCCTGTGTTGCTGTTAGCCCCATTTGTCTGGCCAAATGCTATTCGGCGAGTGCACTGAACTTTGAACCAAATGTCCAACAACAAGTGAATGGAATCTACCACAAATAAGTTGAACTAATAAAGCTATGCATTTATGATTTTCCCATTTCATTTTGTCTCTCTCTCTCTATCTCTCACTCTTGTGGAATTCAATCGTTGGCGCCTCCAAACGTCGCTTGAACCAATAAATATTGTAATCGAACTGCAGATCAAACAGCAGGCTAATAAATCAGCACAATTGTTTATTAAATCCAAGTGTTGTTAGCTACAGCTAGCAACAGCATATTTATAATTTTCACTTTGCTGTCGTAATCGAATCTCGTCATAAAATGTTCAACAAATGTAGGCAGACATTTCTCAGAGTGCTTGAATTACTCAAATAAAGAACAAATAAGAAAGCGAGTGAGAGAAAGATTCAAATCAGCATTAGCTGTGGCATAGAAACAGTTCTCTATATTAATAAAACTCAACTATACTCAGAAAAAAATCGACTGCAATTTAATAAAAAATAAACCTCCTTAAAATGCACAAAAAGCAAAGTGGAAAATAGGCATCGATTTTGTTTCTATGTTTTATGCATAAAGCTTATTTTTCACAACGGGAAAATTGCATATATAGTTTTTCTGAATATTAGAGAAATGTAATCGGGAATTGACAAATATAACTTGTCAATTGAGCTTCAATATGTCAATGGACAGCAATTTTTCAGTTTATCGGCAATCTGTGAATTGGTTTACTTTGTTGTTTTAGCAACAAAACAAAAACAAAAAAAGTGAGATTATTATCGCATTAAGCGTCTAATAAGTCCGTCCCCCTGGCACGCCCCCTTTTTAAGCTAATATACAACACAAGGTGGAAGCGCGTGCTTGCGTCAATGCAGCAATGTGTTGGACACTGGAACTATTCATCAATTCATCAATTAATCAATTCATCCATCCATCCAAAGAAAGCCTCAGTCTAAGTCTCAGCCTCAGTCTAACTCTCAGTCTCAGTCTCAGTCTGGGGTTTGGCTTGAGATAAGGTTGAGATACCCGATCGCGAATGCTAATTAATGTTAATCAAGCACAAGCCAGCAATTCTATGACGTATGTAAAAGTTAAAACAAAAAAGCACAATAAATAAAACTGAACTGAATCAAACACAATATATGTATAATATATATATGTTTATTGTATACATATTTTACAAGTCAATGCAGTTAACGGCGATAAGGTTTCAAATGCAGTTTCTAAGCTTGGGCACGTGTCAACTACAACAACAACAAGAAAAACAACTGCCACAATAATTTAACAGTTCTTATCAATTTGACACACATTTAAGGCACACACTCTGAACAATTCAACAAAACACCCAATAAATTCGACGTTTGAGGGCAGTGAGCTCATAGAAGCTTGATTATTTTTAGAATAATTGTGGTTGTTTTTTGTTAATAAATAGTTTATTGTAGCTGGTAAGCAACTCATTAATATCATTAAATATTATTGATTATTTTTAGAAAATTAACACTTTCCAACTATACTTTTTATATATACTTAAACGAACATCATTTAAAACAGTTAGTTAATAAAAAAATATTAGTTTCACGGTTTACACTTAGTTTACCTCTGTCGAGTGACTACTGCCATATATATAGGTTATGTAAAAGAAGAGAATTAATCACTTTGCTTTGAATACGTTAAATAAGTTAGCTTAGTAACGCTTTGGTTCTGCCAGTAAACTATTCCAGATTTTCACATTTACGGCTGGCAACTTTTGAGCCACTTTCACCTGGAATCCATTTGCATCTTTCTCAGCATTCTCAAAGGAGTGATAATCACAGATTCCTTCGGGTCGCGACTTGAGCACTTGCTCCGTGCATTGTCCGAGCGATTCGAGATTCCTTGGTTTGCTATTAATGCCAATGCAATTAATTTACGCCCGGCTTTAATTATTGTGATTAGTAAACTTACCCAAATTTGGCAAAGTGCACAAAATAACCCACAAATGATTTAATGACTCTGGCCTCGGTCGAGTTGCGCTCAAAGTCGGGAAATAGCATCGGACTACGAAATAGATAGATCAAATCATCGCAGTGGACAACGCCATATTTCTTGGTCACATTCGCGCTGGTAAACACAGAGGCATAGCTGTAAGGACCCAGGTAATTGAAGCTATACAAAAACATCTGCTGCTCTCTCTCCTTTAGATTGATTACATAATCCCACATGGCATTATAGAGTGGCTGCTTGAAGCCTCTATCCGATATGAGCTGCGTGCGATCGCAAAAATTTAGTTGTAAAGAAAATAAATAAATTAAATCGAGGAAATACATTTCTTAAAAGCAGAAATATCTTATTAAAATTCTTTTAAACTTTTATGAAACCTATCGTGAAATTTAGAAATAGATATGCCTGGTGTTAATAAAGAAAGAAAAAAGCAGAAATGTCTTATTAAATTATACATGAAAATCAAATTTATTTCATAAATGTTTTAATAATTTTAAAAAAACATTTCTTGTTATTTAGATATGCCTGTATTTAATAAAGAAAGTTTCATGATTTTCTGAACTGTTCCCCATATTTTTTCAAAGTGTAGTTATATGGATATATCATTTCAAATCGTACTTACATTGAGGAAACCCTGGACAGTCTGCTCATTGACTTCGTGGATATTGTGAAAATACACATCGCTGACAGTCTGCATTACTTGGGCCAACTGCTGCTGGCTAAACGCTTTGGGCAATTCCAGCTGCGCCTGGATCAGCTCATCGAAGCGTGAATTGAAATCCTGGCGCAGCGTTAACTTCTCCATGATATTCACCACACGAACGGCGCCCTCCTCGGGCACAGTGCCCAGCAGCCAGGGTACTTTGTTATAGTCACCTTTGGCCATCAGCTGCTTGGGCTGCACACTGAGGAATGCCTCGTCAGCTGGATGCTCGACAACTGGACGATAATTGGTCATGTGATCGACATCCCAGAACTTTAATCCATCGCCAGCATTGAGCAGCGTTTGGACATCGACGCCTCGCAAGGCACGTGTCAATTTGGCTGTGCTCAGATTCTGGGCATTTGCCACCTGGCAGAGTTCGGCGGTTTGCCGGGCCTGCTTCAAAGGTTCGTCGACAAGGGCAAAGGGCACATTTGCTGTGCCGCTCATGCTGATCACCTGCTGGAACAGACCCGCCGACCGTGGACTCAGCATGTGCAGGTGCGTAGCCACGCCCCCAGCACTCTGGCCAAAGATGGTCACGCGTTGCGGATCGCCACCAAAATATTTAATATTGCGCTGCACCCAGCGCAATGCCAGCTGCTGATCCTTGAGACCAAAGTTGCCCGGCATGCATAAGTCCTGTGTGGACAGAAAACCTGCCAAAAGGCAAGTTGAACGAATTTCAAAATGTTTGAGCAACTCTCAACTCACCCAAGGCGCCCAGGCGATAGGCCATTGTGACCAGTAACACTTCGCCCGTGTCCATAAAGTACTCCGGTCCCGTTAGCTGCGGTCCAGCGGAACCACTAAAGAATCCCCCGCCATGTATGTAAACCATAACGGGCAAGGGTTGCCCAGAACGATGCTAAACAGTAAGATAAGAGTATGATAAAGATAAGATTAGTCAGCTTGTTGTTAATTATAAATTGCCAACAAAGTATCGAAAACAAATTGCAAAGCAAATGTTTAAAGCCAAACGAATCACATATATATAAGATATAATAATTAAGAGTCTTTATAAGCACTTAGTTAAAAATTAACAAGAAATTCATCTACTTTTTGAGCAAACAGAAAAAAGAAAGGACTTTGCTATAATTGTTCAATGTAAAACTCACCTCCGGCCTGTAAACATTGAGATAGAGGCAATCCTCCTCGCCATAGATGAGGGGCGTGGGCAACAGGTAGTTCTTCTGAATGCAGTCTGGTTTGGCAGTGCTGGCATTATAAATGCCTTGCAGCTTGGGCATTACCTTGGGATACTAAATGGATTGAAGTGTTTTAAGAGAGAAGCCTTAAGGAACTCGAAGATCTCAGAAGTTACATTAAAGCGCAGCTCGTCAACGGGTGGCAGGGCGTAGGGTATGCCAAGGAAGCCCTCAAAGCGCTTGATCTGATATCCTGGCATATAGATGCCCTTCAGGCAGCCCAGGTTGCTGCCACACACAATTAGGCTCTTGTGACTCAGTGTTGCCGTCGCCTGGTTGCCGAGCAACAGCAACAGCAACAGCAGCAGCAGCAGATGTAAAGCAAATCCGACGTGAATCATGATGATCTGATGGATCGATTGGTCTTTTGTCTATGAAAGAAATCGAGCCGCATTAACTTAACGCATAAATCATTTTTATTTATGTGTTCATTTGTTTATGGCCTTTTATGAGCCACTTTTGCCCGATGATGTCAACGGTGAGCGCTTAGCAAATACCATAAAAACACACACACTAATTAATAAATGTTCCCACGACAGGCGACACACACAGTTTGGACCAAGAAGGACACCAGTGTTAACCACTTGGCAAGGATGTCGCCAAACTAAATACTCACAAAGGCGCTCAACTAGATCAAATCTATTCAATGATTTAACACGAGCGTGTTTAACGCGACAGCGTACGAAATTTATCTGACGGGCTTGTAACCCAAAGCATTGAGTTTTATTAAAAAAAAAAAAAAAAAAAATAGAAAAAAATGTATATAAGAAAAACTTTGCTTCAGTTATGGTTGTGGTTGTGTTTGTGTGTGTATGTGTGTGTGTGTGTGTGTGTGTTGTTTGTGTGTGTCACGCTTTTAGCAACAGTGAATTGTTGGAAATATGTAGATCCAAAGTTGTTGAGTTGATATTGTATTTGTGCTCTGTATTTAATTCTGTATTCAATTGAATTATTATTCAACAAATCGAACACTGGGCGTATGCTTAATAAACATAACAATCTCCATCGGTGTATTTACCACAAACCAAATTCAACTTCAACTTCAACTTCAACTTCAACTTGGCCCTCGTTCAGAACTGCAGCTAGAGAAGAGCCGAGTCGCACTACGATCATCTCCGCATTCACTTTCACTTTTATCCTGACTCGCCTCGCTTGCGATATGAATACGGTACACGCTTGCACTCTCTCACACGCACACACACACACGCACACATTTACGCTACACATTTTACATTCCTCTTTGCTCTTTTTTCCCATAGTGTGTTTGTTGGTTTGTCTGTCTGTCTGTCTGTCTGTTTGTCTGTCTGTGTGTGTGTGTGTGTGTTTCTGTGTTGTGCTGATAAGCAACACTGTTTGCTGCTTGGCAAGGGGGCTGGGCTCTGCCAATGCATTTCCTCTCTCTCTCTCTCACTCTCTCTTTGCGGCTCATCTCTCCGCTTACATATTACATATGCATCGCTTACAGCGCTGTTCATTGATATAGTTTAGTTATTCTACTTAATGGCAACCACTTCTTGTGACTAAAGCAGGCAAACGTGTAAAACTGAAATCTTGTGCCATCAATTAAGCCAGTTGCCATATATTTAATTATCAGCTTTTATTTAAGTTATTTATTGCTATATCAGCCAGTATCTTCTGATTCTATGTGGTTTTTTGTTATTATTGCATAAACAAGTTTCAGCCATGAAAGTGTGTCTCCAACTGAGTTAAGTGATTCACATTTCTAGAATTCCACCCTAATTTCTGATTCCACAAAAGTGAAACAAATTGATAAGTGAATATTATATATTGAATATTAAAAGAGTCTCGCTATTTGAGTGGGCCGCATTGTAAAATACTCACTAATGTGGATTATTATACTTTCGAACGTATTGTCGCTCCTATAGTTGGACAATATGCAAATGCATTTGACCTTCGTCTGGATTGAAAACGAGTTCGAATATAAAATAGGTCATCGCTGCAGTTTCAGATATGCGCAGGGAGCAGAAATGCAAACTCAACCAAGCTGGAGGAGACACATTATCTTCGTTAATTTGAGCAAATATTCTTATATGCAAATAGATGTAACTGAACTTAGTCATGGCCGCATAGGGTAACTATTGATACCCTGTGATCACTGACACCGTCTACTGATCGATCGAATCGAAATTTGGTATGCAATTGTTATGTTTTATTATATTCAAATGTGGGAGTCTAGTTAGCTACTTACTATCTAAATCTAATCGAATAACTAAAACATAAGTCATAAGTAAAACATGGACGTCTATGAATAAAGTTTCTTCCATAGGGCCAATCCTCGCATGTCCGCACTTCTCTCAACGGTGTCGTGATAAACCCCATTTAACTGGCCAAAGTGAAAATAGTTGCAGATCTTATCAGTGGTAAAGTCAGCAGATTTGCAGGGTAACAGCTGGCTTTTGTCGTAGAAAACACTTCACATATATGAATAGAAATAGAGATGTAATTAAATACGAATCGAGATTTACATTTGTCGCTGAAAAACAAATGTTTTATGCATTTTATAGATATAACAATAAATAACGGCTGTCTTAGCCACGCCGAAGATTACATATCCTTATAGACAGGAGTCAAGCTATCTGAGTCAACCGATTGCTGTTATGAAAGATATATGATATAGTAGTACAGTGATGGTGATAATTATTACTCTAAATATTAGGAAAAAAAAATACTTATACAAGTACTTATCTCAGCTATGGCAACTATATGATATAGTAATTCGATATTGACGGTTTTGTATCGGAATGCTAGAATCTTAATGGTACGGTAAACTGATAAGTTAAGCAGGGATAACTTGGCAAACAAAGAAGTTTCTCATACAAGAACTCATCTTTCAATTCATCATTTTTATGACAGCTATATGATCTAGTAATCCGATACGACTACCTATCATAGATGTAATGAAAAGTCTGATATCGGTCAACTTTAATGAAGATAGCTGAGGATCCAACGGACATGGCAAAATTATCATAACTTCTACAAGGCTACTAAAAATAAGGATTTCAGTAGTCAGAATAGATGACTGTAAATATATATATAACGGATATATATAGATATAACATATAGGTAAAGGCATACGAATAAATATGTATACAGTAAATGTAGACAACGACCTACCCAGTCTTGGCAAATTCCACCAATAAAGATGTCATGCGTTTAACAACCAACTCATCCTCGGAATCTTTGGGAAAGTCTGGCAGTAGAGCAGGCATGTGTAGTGTGTGCACTGCATCGTCCATGTGGCATGCACCCAGCTCCTCGTAGATAGGTCCGCCCGTAAGTAGTGTTTCAAAGGAAATATTGCTGTGGTACTCATAGTTATAGACGAAGACGGGCTGATCTGCATAGTCCCCATAGCTGTTGGCTGTGACGAAGAGGGGAAAGGCGAACACGAAATCGCCCAGGATAGTCGAAAGAGGAACTAACGTATCCTTATTTAGTTCGAAATCATTAATGCCATACACACTCAGTATATCCTGAACGGTTTCCTCAACCGCTGCTCCTTGGGGTAGGTCCAACAACAAGCCAAACAGATGCAAAAAGTTCTGATTGAACTCCTTGAGGAGCTGAGGCTTCGAATAGGGTTGCAATGTAAACATGGATCCTTCGCCAGCCCGTGAGCCGAAACCTAGCAGCCAGGGCACTTGAGTGATGCGCCCAGCCAGATGAGCCTTCAAGGGCGGCTCATTGAGAAACGCATCCGGCGTTGCATCCTTCTCCACAACAGGACCATAGTTCAGCAGCGGCAAATTACTCCATTCCTTGAGGACATCGCCGGCTTCTAATAAGTCCACTCCATCGATCTGATGCAGCGCCTCCACTAGCTTCTGGCTGTCCAGACTTTGGGCGTGAGCTACACCCGCACGCTCAGCCAATCGACGAGCCTGCGCCAGGGGATCGTTTACAATGATAGACGGAAAGAGAGCTGTGCCGCTCAAGGACATGGCTCCATGGAAGAGGCCTGCCGGGACAACAACATTAAAAATGTGTTCAACAATCAACAGGGAACAGGTCACCCTTTGAATTGGGGCTAAGCATGTGCAGATGTGTGGAGATACCACCAGCGCTGTGTCCAAAAATGGTCACCAACTGTGGATCGCCACCAAAGGATTCAATGTGCTGCTGCACCCACTGGAGCGCCAAACGTTGATCCTTCAGTCCCATGTTGCCAGGCATCTGAGCATCGCCAGTGCTCAAGAAACCTAACGCATGGATACCAATAAGGATGTTGTAGTAAAAATAACTGATTTGGATTTACCAAAGGGGCCCAGGCGATAGTTGACAGTGACCACAATAACCTCTTCAGTGTCCATGAGATACTTTGGACCGCTGTGAAAGGGACATGCAGAGCCGCAGACAAAGCCACCAGAATGTAAATAGACCATAACTGGCAAGGGCGAAGTTATGCTGTGCTGTAAATGTAAGCAAAATAAAAGAAGAGCAAATTGAGAGAATTTTGAATACATTTCTATAGACTCTAGCATTACATATGTTTACAATTTGTTAAAATTTCTCAAAAATATACATATCTAAAAAATGCAGCTTTTTATTATAATTTATTTCACTCACCGCAGGTCTGTAAACATTTAAATAGAGGCAATCCTCTGATCCAACGCTGGGCCAGGATCCCATAAGGAAACACTTTTGTAGACAACTGCTGCCTGCAGCACTGGCATCCAATACACCCGTCCAGGCGCTGGCAGCTACAGGACTCTGCAAGGGTCACAGCATTCAGCTAGCGTCAGCTAACACACAGTTCAAGTTGCCTACCTTAAAGCGCAACTCGCCCACAGGTGGCGCTGCAAAGGGTATACCCATAAATCCCTCAAACGCATCCTGCTGATATCCTGGCATCAGCGTGCCACGCATGCAGCCCAAGTCCTTGAGGCACACATCCAAATCAGCACCAACAATAACAAAATATAAATAGATGTATACACCACACACGAGAGCACGACCCATCTCGAATAGCTTCGCAGTAGACAAGATTAATAATTCTATCAGCAGCTCGGTTTTATCATTTTATTTGAGCCAAAAGATTGCATGTTCGTTTCAAATTGAGGCGTAGTTCAGTTTAAGTTAATTTAATGCTTTAGGCCACATCTGTGTGCCTATTAGAAAACTGTGCCCAGGCAAACGATTCTTTTATAATCGGTTATCAAATAAATGTAATCAAATCGAGTTAGGCATTTTAGGATTTCACAGTTAGTATTAAGTATATTAACTTTATTATATGATCGTTTAAGAATGGAGTATATAATTTTGCGATATTTAAACGAAGATGCAAAAAAAACATGAAAAATGGGTTTCTAATGTTAATCGGATTAGTTCTGGAAAATTTGTCAAGAGCATTTCGTGAGAACTTTTAAGTTATGCTCTGAATTCAATTAAGCTTTGACATATTTACAGGTTCAGGAAGCTGCTGAAGAAAAGAAATAGATAAAACCGGTTGCCCCAAACGAGAGTTCAAACCGAATGGTTTTCGAATCAAAAAGTTTACTGTATTTACAAAATTGATTGGATACAGCAAAGATGCTGCTGTCAACCAAGCAGCCATTAATTATAGACTTATTTATAGACAACGTTTGCGACTACAACTAAACACGCATTCATACAAAAGATACTTATCAGTTAAGAGTTACAGATTACATTAACGATTAACGATTTGCTCCGTGAGTATCTCAAATATAACAAAAGAACTTGTGAATTGACTTTAGATGCTTGGGTAATATTATTAACAGTTAAATGGGGGCCAAGCTGCGTCGCTGCGCTGCACTCAAATCCGGATGCCAAAAGTCCACGATGAGCACCAAACGTAGCTGGCTGCCATTGTGCCAGACCTCGTGCTCGAAGCTATCGTCAAATATGAACAAATCGCCCTCGCGCCAGGTGCTACGTGGATGAGGAGGAGATCATTTACAGTGCATATCCTGAATAACTGTTTGATTTCTCTTACCGCTGTTGTTCGGCCACGCGCAAGTTGGTCAGGTGTGGTTCCGGTGCCACCAGCGTGAGATGGGCACGCAGTCTGCAGTTGGTGGGACCACAGTGTGGCCAGACATGCGTCTGTGCCTGCATAGCACTGAACTTGATTTGTCCACGCCGGCAACTGCTGGCTGCAGTAAACTTCTCCAACAGGCCACAGGTGATGGGCGCCCTTTGACAGTTCCCCAGCAGACGCTCGCCACGTGCGTAGAGCTCGTATTGCTGCCAGTTGCCCGTGTCGCGCAGTTGCTCCGCCTCCTGCTGAAAGTTGCCTTGGCTGCTGAGCAGCGCCAGCGCCTCGTTGCGTATGCGTCGCCAATTCTGCTGCAATTGCTCCAGCTCCAAGGCGTGACCCGTTTCCGCTGGTTGCCAAAAGGATTTGGCTCTCAGTCGGGGCACATTGTACAGCGAGCGCTGATAGACGCTGGCGAAGAATCGCTGCTCCGCACCACGTTTATACAGCTGCAATGCCTGGGATTGTTTGCCCAGACGCTGGAGTGTCTCGCCCAACGCCAGATAGAAGTAGGGCTCCTGTGTGCCCGGTGCTTGTGAGTCAATGGCAAGCTGCAAATACGGCAAGGCTTGAGCATAGTCGCCACGAAGCTGCTTGAGTGCCAGGCCAAAGTGGAGATTGGCGACTGGATTGCGGGGCCAGAGCTTGAGCGTTGCACCAGCCACCTGTTGCAATTGAGCCAAGCTGAGAAGTGAGTTTAATTTGCGATTGCTGGCAGAGTGAGACACACCTACTTGTTGGACATCAGATGGGTGAGCGAAAGCTGATTGCGCAGATGAGCCTCAGCAGGAAAGCGTTCAATGAGCTGCTCGTGTACGGAGACCGCCTGTTGCATGTGACCTGTCACAAGGAAAAAGAGAGAGATGAGGAGAGGCGGAGAGAGAGAGAGAGATCAGTTGCTTAATATCTATATAGAATATCGAGCTTAAACTCACCCAGAAATCTGAGCTGCTGAATGCAACTTTCGCCAGCCGCACGATATTCAGTGTGGTTGGCAATGAGTTCGCCAAAGGCCAGATAACGTTTGTAGGATTCGACGGCATCGAGGAGCAATCGATTGCTGCGCTGCCTCTCAGCCACGAGCTCCAAGGCCCGGGCCCGTTGCAGATGAGCCGCCGGTATGTGTGCGTATGTGTGTGTGAGCGTGTTAAAGGCGCGCAAAGCGTTCGCAAAATTCTTGGAGATTAGTTTTAGATATGGTCACCAAAAAACGAAGGGTATTCGTTGGAGATTTAGTAAAATCCATGCATGCAAATAGAGCCGGGAATTAGCAAAGGTAGACGATTAGTAAACAAACTGTGAGAGCTCCAGTCGAGAGTGCTCGACTCAGTTTTACATTGAAATTAAGACTTGTTGGCATACGAGCATTGGCACAGATACAAATTGACTAGATTAAATTAAGTTTAAAATACTCAAATATTTGCATGTTTTTTGATTCTCTCTACTCGAAATATTTTGAAATATTTGTCTGTGACACAAAAACATAGTTGCTATTGGGCAGGCCCGTCAACTGTGGCAAAGATCGGGTGGGTGCTTCTGATTCTGATGCAACAGGGACCAGCCTGAGCCCAATAGTAAATATGTTTTTTAACTAATGCCAATTAATTGTAATATCTATGATCTTTTCGCTTAGTTTTTCTTTCGTATAACACTCAAGCTTAAATATTTAAATATATTGTTAATAATTCCTTAAGAGCTAAGCACATGAACTTAAGAAGCAAACATTAATTAAAGCTATGAAAGGACTTTTAATGTTTTTTTTTTTTTTTTTTTTTTTTTTTTTTGTTTTAAAGGTTGTTGAGCTACGTCGAAAAGAATTACAGAAATCGTATACGAGTTTTATTTGAAGGGGAACTGGGGGAACTTACCTCATTGATCATCTCGGCATTGGCCTTGCGCAGCTCCTGCTCGAACAGATCATCGTCGTGCTCAACAGCCTGGGCACCAGTTGGGTCCTTGGGTTTTATTTCTATTGGGAAATAAACACTTCAATACTCAAGTCAATTGGGAGGTGCACTTAAATTAAATACGCCACTGAACGGTTAATGTTTGAGGCTCCACCTTATGCATAAGATTAGCAATCAATTCAATTTTGGCTATAACTATGACTTACTATGGGTATTAACGTCATGAACGAGTTTACTTTAGAATAGATTATAATACGAGTTTATGTCAGATAGGTTTATATATATATGTCAATGCAGTGATGGGCTTTGTAGATTGCTTGTTGTAGACTGATTGGTTTGGTTTGGTTTGGTTTTTTTGTGTAAATTGTACATTTAGTAATTACGTGTCCAGGTCGGATCATCGGAATCGGGATCGGTATCATACTCCTTGGCAGGGAGTCGACCATATTTGGCTTCCAACCTGCTCATTAGTTCCGCATCATCCACATCGGATATTTCATCTTCCTCCTCATCGCTCAATAGCTCATCCTCGTCGTCGCTATCGTCATGCTCGTAATCCTCAATATCCCCCACATCGATTTCAACATATTTGACACCGGTAAACGTATGTGCCGGTTCCGATTCGGATTCGGATTCGGACTCCAGTTTCTTTTCCGTCTTTTGCTCTGTCTCTGGCTCCGGTTCCTTGGCGGGCTCTGGTACAGTCTGGGACTTTGCCTCAGCTGGCTTTGGCGCTATTGTGGATTTGTACATGGCACTCAGTTGCTCGAATGTCTCCGGCACATAGCTGGCATTGATGGCCACAATATCATCGTTTTCCTCCGTATCGGTTATCTCAATTTCAATTTCCTCCTCGATTTCGATCTCCTCCTCGGAATAATCCTCTTTGGTTGGAAATAAGGCTAGCATTATTATATGAAACACAACACAGCTCAATAAAAGCCAATTAATTTCGTTCAAAATAGTTTCAAGTCCAAACGCTTGAAACTATTTGGAAGCATCTTCGATCGGGACCGAAGCATATACATATACATATATATTTATATATATATAGTAACTGAATAGTTTGTCAACCGTCATCAAGCGGCGGCAGCTCCTCCTCCTCCTCCTCCTCCTCTGCATCAACTGTCAGTCCGGCAATTGTCAGTCGTCTTCTCATGCTGACCTCCGTCGTGGACAGATCCTCATTGTCTATTTTTGTTTTTGTTTTTTTATCAGAGATTAGTTAATGTGGTACATATATAGTTGGGAGTCAACAAGAACAAAGCCATACAATATTAAATTTACATACATACATTGGCGCATAAGTTTTAACAAAGCTGTGACTACAATAAAAACAACAAAAATGTTTGATTTGCATTTGGCTTAAACTTATTCATTATGTTTTACAAAAATAAAATAAACGAAATAATAAACATGAAGAAAGTGCAAAATTTTGTTCTTATTTTCAAAATTGGTTTCTTGTTTTGTTAATTTTAAAAGTTAGTTGAACTTCCAGTTTCTCATGTTAATGCTCAAGTTAAAGAAAAATTGGAATAAAAAGAGCTTTAAAATTATTTACAAATTTAACAACTCTTAACTTTGCCAGAAACATGAGAAGTGGGCCTTAAGGATGTTTTGATTTTGTTTTTTCGTTACGTTTTCATTCAACATTGAGTAGCTTTTTATTGATCAATTGGTTAAGAACGTAAAGCGGCCCTTATAAATGTATTTTGTGTTCGAACTGATATTGCCAAATGACATATATAGTTTGGATTTAGAGCAGAACAGTTCTCAGTTAAGCAGCGATATGATAAGAGTTTCGTTAACATTAAAAGAGAGTTACGTGGTTAACAAATTTGGCATTCAGCACCAATTGACAAACTCACTTGTATTTGGATTTTTCCGTATCAATACAAGGCGTGAAACAAGGGCAAGTGCAATGCCAACGCCAAATTTAACGGCAACTGGAAAATGATTTACGTTTTAGTAAACAATTCAATTATTTCAACGAAACATTATATTAACATCTCTCTCTATCTCATTGCCATTTGCACTTTCTTGTACAATATTTAATTAGATTTGAAACTTTGCTCTAATTGCATAAAGTGGAGTTGTTTCTTTCGTATTTTTTTATTACCCTCTCTACTGTCAACCGTTCATTGGCGCCGCTACAAGCTCTTTAAGGTACTTACGTGAGCCCAGCCAGGATGTTGTTGTGACTTCCTCATCCTTATCCTCAGCCGCTTCGCCCTGCTGCTGTTTGGCTCTGGCTGCGGCTTCTGCAGCAGCGGCTGCTTGACGTTCTCGCTCCTGCAGCAGCAATTGCTCGTCATCATCATTGTCCTCATCCTGCAATGAGTACAGTTTATTTTTAATCCAAGCGATCTTAAAATTAAAGGCACTTACTTCATCATGTTCTTCCTCATCGTCCTCAGCTGTAATATTTTCAGCAGCAGTGTTCTCTCCTTCTTCATCCTCCTCCTCCTCCTCCTCCTCATCTGCTGCGTCATGATCTTCCTCGGCTTCTTCCTCGTCTTCTTCTTCTTCTTCGCCAGTCTGCTGCTCATATTCCTCATCATGTTCATCGTCGTGTTCATCATCATGTTCATCCAGCGCCGCTTCGTGTGAAGGATGCGCATCGTGTTCATCATCAGCGCGATGCTCATCGACCCAACCATTGAAGTAGTTCGAATAACGCGACTCCGACAAAGGTGTGTCCACTGCAATTGGCCACAATATTCATTAGTTTCATTTAGTCAGATAACACTGCATAACTGTGTAGCTAGCATAAGATCATGATTTGACTTCTGAACGGTTAAAATTCCATTTCCGAAACTAATTTTATTTACAAAACAAATTCCAATATGTAACTTAAAATAAACTCGATCGTATTTATTAACATTTTAAGCATTTCCATTTCTTTTCAATTATGGAAAAAATAATAGTTATTCAGTGATCACTGCATTTACTTACAGTCCACGTCCAGTCCGCGATTTTCCATTATGATGAGGCCCACCAGGCCGAGGAGCACAGCCATCAAGCTGAAGAATATAATCTTGGCGCACCAATGTCCGCCAGTTCCGTGCTGGTGTTGCACATGCAGATGGACATCATCGTTTCCCATCTTTGTGATGTGAACGCCGTGGGAAGACGAGTCGTCGACATCCTCTGTGCGCGATGCATGACAATAATAAATTAAGCACATGTGATTAGAATTCGCTTAATTAACCAAATGCTAACGAGAAAGGGGCAGGGGCGGGTGGGGGCAGGGTTTAGTAAAAAGCAACTAGATTTTGTAAATGAGAGATGCTATTTTGTAAAGCTTCTTCTGCAGTTTGGGGCATGGATAGGGGTAGAGATATGGGTATGGGATATGACTATATATAGAGAGACAATAGACATAGAATGTAGATGAGATTTGCTACCTTGAAAGCTTGGCTGGCGCAGTACGCTCACATCGCCCTCCGATTTGCGATCATCTAGACGAAAAGTTAGTTACAATTGATGATAACAAAAGAGCAAACCAAAATCACTTTCTTACAAGCTAGCGATGAAAGATTTGTGTAATTGTTGTTGTTGTTGTTGATGCAAAACAAAGAAGGCGCAAGTCATGCGCTTGGGCATGTGGCCAAATAAAAAAGAAAATCAAACAAAAATAACAGCACTTCTGTACAGGGTACATAGCACACACATGCACACATATACATATATGTACATAGTATTTCTGTGTGTGTTTCGCTTTGTGTATGCTATGAGAAAAATTGTCCAAAATTGTGCTGGTGGGTGTAATGTCTTTCCTCGCGGAAGTCTCTTTGACTTTGAATATACACACACACACACATGCAAACATACATAAAATTCAATAAATAAATAAATTCAATTAGAGCTGGCATTGTTCTTGAGATTACAAATCATAAATAAATAGCATTAAGAACGCAAGCAACTGTAACAGAGCAGCTTACACAGAGAAATAGAGAAACAAAGAGAGAGAGAGATAGAGAGAGAGCGAAAGAGAGAGAGCGAAAGAGAGAGAGATAGAGAGAGAGAGAGATAGAGAGAGAGCGAAAGAGAGAGAGAGAGAGAGAGAGAGAGAGAACTAGAACGAGAAAGAAGGAATTCTACCGGCATTTGTTTATGTTGCCCTGAGCAAAAGATAAATACACTTTTATCTAAAATCTGCAGCAAGCACACTGCTCAGGCTTTAAATAAACACGAGCGGAATTTTAAAGATATTGTCTTATCTAAAGCAACTCAAAAACGCCACTTTGCAGCACTGATTTTTCCATTCTGTCGCATATCCCAGAAGTTATTCGATTTATATTTTTGATAATATCGCGTGTCCAGGCCAGCTGGGCAACTAGACAGCGCATTAAAGAACATAAAGAGATATATAAATTTCTGTATGCACATATAGTTTTTTTTCTTTCTTTTTTTATTTTGTTCGGCAGAGCGGCACACGCATAGCGAATGACAGCAAAGAAGAGCAATGTATAATTTTATATAATAGGGCAAAGTTATTTTTAAAGGCGCTCGACAATATTATTATTCTAATAAAAGAAATGGACAGCAACGACACACCACATTTGCGAGTATCTCGATACATCAGATTCAGATTCAATTTGAATCATTAATCTCAACCATCAAATGAACTTACCACGTTTTTTGCGCTTATCCTTGCGCTTTCGCGGCTGTACATCGCCTGACATATTTTTCAACTACTTTTCGATTCTCTTAGTAAATGCCAATTTTTCCCAAATTTTCCCCAACTTCCCAATTGCCCCACTGTATGTTTTGCTTCGGCTTTTCCGGGATAGTCGAACCCGATCACGAACAGTTCCAATGCGACCACAGCACGTAACTAAACCGAACGACGACAGCCAGGCGGAGGTGTTGCGGCTGCGGCTACTGGCGGGCCGCAAGCGAGCGAGCTTTTCCCGTCGCTTTTTCGAAAATAGCGGGAAATTGGGCTTTTGCTTGAAATCACTACGACATACCCATAACTGTTTGCACTTCAGTTTATTACAAATAAATATATAATTCTTGTTGTTGTGTTTCGTTTATGGCAACTCGAATATTTATAGCAACTGACTGTTGCCGCACTTAATCATGCAGTTATTTACATTAGTGCGATAGGCGATAACAAATGCCCATAATCGATAGTAATTTTATGAACGATAATCGACATCCTCGTCGTCCTTTGCCATTCCGTGTCCTCTTCACCTTTGTCAAATACCATTGTTGGTATTTTTTTGGTATTTCCTGTGTGCTTGGTCACACTGATATACTACCATAAAAATTACAACAACAAAAATATTAAGAACGGAACGAGGGAAAACAACCCAGCACAATTATGTATAGATACGATTTAGATTGAAGTCAACAAAACTTGTTGTTGGATTTGGGCGAAGTGCAAAGTTGTGGTAAATTGAAAATAAATTAATGCCAGCCATAAATCACATTTTGCAAACACCTTATAGGCCAGGAGCTACAAGCTACGCCCCGACGACGGAGACGTAGACGGCGGCAAAAAGACAAACAAATTAGCCACGCCTTGGAGCAACAAAAGCTGTGAATCAAATTGATGGCCGGCGATATGTCGATTGGCTGTGCCGCTCTCAAGAGATCCACAAAATTGAAGAGTTGCACAAGTGGCTCCGATACGGACTCGATGCAGCTGCCTGATGACCGCAAGGAAAATGGCAATAAAATGGGGTTATTAATCAAGCCACCAACTGCTCCACAGAATATGCGTGGCGGTCTCCGAGTCTATAAAATCGTCATACTCGGCGATGGCGGAGTCGGCAAATCGGGTAAGCTTGACAAAAAAAAATAGAGCCTTTTATCACTGCGCACTTTCGATTGAGGGCGCTGCGAAAAATCAATAAATTATCTCAATTTCTTTTACGCTTTGTTTTATGGCACACGACCACCCAACCACCCAAACCACTCACAATCAACCCCCAAAAAACACCGTCCGGCATTGGCTTCGTGCGTTCGGCTAACTTTGCGTGTACACAAACCAAAACACACACACACACACGAACACACGTAAACAGCTGTTACCCTGCAGTTCGTCAGTCACAGTTTCTTGGACTACCACGACCCAACAATTGGTGAGTGCGAGTTGTTCTTATTCAGCTGCTGTCTTCTTTTTCTTTGATACCTTTGCGGACTGTATGATTATTTCAGGACAAAGATATATGCTATATATATTTATGATCAAAAGTTTCTCAGTGTTCAAATCAAGTTTGCTTGCCACATTTTATTATAATATTACTATTATATTATTAGTATTATCGTGTTCCTCAAAAATGTGAGCAGAGACCACTCAGTCTTACAGTTAGCGTATGTAAGAATAAGTATTAGGAAATTGTTTGTAGGATAATTTCGTCATGAAAGAGAACAACGATTTTGACTACATAATTATGTATAACCGAAACTGAGAAATCAATTTTCAAATCAAGTTCAAAATTCGAGTTCTTAAGAAAGTAACGTTTGCTTATCCTTTTTTTTAAATATTGTTATTATAATATCAGTATTATTATGCTCCCTAAAACTATGGTATTTATATGTAAGAAAAAGTATCAGGAAATTGCTTAAGGGACATTCTGAACTGACATTCCGATATTTGTATAACTACATGAATAATCTCTCTAAAGTGCTATCGACTTCAAGATTTGTAAACGCCTTGAGGTCTAAACTCAAACATTATTTAAGCAACAGTTTTATAAACATGGGATTAGTATATCATAAAACTATAACAGAAAGCATATAGACATAGTCTGCAAGGGTATCTTAAATTTGGCAGTTCGAAGTCAATTATCACATTTTTTTATTTGTTTTGATTTGACCAATGAACTCTTGTTTTTTCTGTGCAGAGGACTCCTACCAGCAACAGGCGGTGATTGACAATGAGGCTGCGCTGTTGGACATACTCGACACTGCTGGTCAGGTTGAGTTTACGGCCATGCGGGATCAATATATGCGTTGCGGCGAAGGTTTCATCATTTGCTATTCGGTCACGGATCGTCACAGTTTTCAGGAGGCATCCGAGTATCGCAAATTGATAACGCGGGTCCGTCTGGCCGAGGATATACCGCTGGTGTTGATAGCCAACAAGGTGGACCTGGAATCTCAGCGACGCGTCACCACCGAGGAGGGCAAGAATCTGGCAAATCAGTTCGGTTGCCCCTTCTTCGAGACATCGGCGGCGCTGCGTCATTATATTGACGAGGCGTTTTATACGCTCGTCCGCGAAATCCGTCGCAAGGAGATGCAAAAGGGCACCGACACCAGCTCAGAGAAGATACATACTCGGCATCGCAGTCGCTGGTGGCGCATCCGTTCCATTTTCGCATTGGTCTTTAGGCGTAGACGCAATCTAAACTAAACTGAATGGAGACAAAATCCACCACAACAACAACTCAGTTCGCAGTGCAAACATTGTGCAATATTAATCAATGCGTTATGCTATATATTTATTTGGCACAACCAATCATATATATATATATATATATATATATATATAAATATATGTACGCATATATATATATATGTGTGTGTGTGTGTTGACATATTATAGATGTCTTATCCTTGAATTTATCAAGCGTTTGCGAATCTAATTGGTATATAGCCAGAGCAAGGCAACAACTAATCGACCGTAACTTTGTTTCTAGTTAAAATTATGTTTGTTTTTATTTTTAGATTTGTTATTCCACATCGTATTTGTTGACTTTGTATTGTTAAGGTGCTAGACGCACACTGAAAGCAGGAGGAGAAGGAGAAGGCAGGAAAGATAATATATAATATATAGTTATGTATATCAATATGTTTAAGCACCAATCCAAATAATACATATATATAGCAATGCACGTATGTAGTAAATAACAAGAAGACGTCGATTCCTAAAACAAGACAAATTGGCAGAACGGCAAATCAAAATGAGAAACAAAAATGAAATGCATTTAATTTTAACAAAAACCGAAAAAGTGAAACCAAAACAATACAAAAAATATGCAATATCAATAACGTTAAATCAAAAAAAAAAGAAGAAAAAACGAAACGATACAAAACTGAGTCCTAGCTAAAGCCAATAAAGCGCCCAAGGCTATATTTGAATACTATCTATATACGAAATATGATCAAGTGTAAATCAAACAGAGCTTTATGTCGCAGCAAATGTCCCAACAAATGGCGAAGTGTAAACAATTTGAAGGCGCATTGAATTTATGTATTATGTGCATGTATTATTATTATTGTTATAATTAATTACGACAGGCGCACAGAACGCACACACATTAATTAACTAATCGAATAAATGTTGAATTAAACGTATGTATACTAAACCTATTTAAGCGAGATAGGTCGATCGGATCGAACACGGATTATAATGCACAAGCAAAAAAAGAAAAGAAAAGAATAGAAAAAAGAGCATATTGCATTGTCCAATGTGATTTTTATGTAATATTATTATTGATGCGTTTGCATTTGTTGTTTAAGTTTTATAAGAATGTTTGACGCGTTAACTCGTTTAAGTTTATTTATATTATTATTATTATTAGTATAAGTTCAACAGTTCTGTGTTTTGTTAATTACTTTGTAACATCTATGACTTTCCGCGAGCATCACAATGAGTTCCTTACATCAATGTTACTACATCTGCATCAGCATCACAGCACATGGCTTTAAGGACCGTCTATATACTATTTGTTATATCAATTTCAATTTGAAATTGTTAAGCAACAGTTTGTTGCAGGCGTTTAATGAAACCAACTCTTTATGTTGCCTGATAACCAAACCGAATAACGAGCTATGTAATTGTTAAGCGCAATCTTCGGAATTGTATGTTTAATTTTTTTGTCACTTAAATTATTGAGCGAGATGATATATAATGAAAGGAAGGTAAATTAAACAAAATAAATATGTTAAATATATCACATATGATTATGTATTTCCCATGAAACAATAACACAACAAAACGAAATGAAAAAAATAGATGTTAGTAGCTGTATGCGAGTATTATCATAGAAGCACAAGTCTGGTAAGACCCAACTTGCATTGTTTTGTTTCGGAAAATCGAAGTTGAGCGCTTCGAGCGATCAATTGAACTATTTAATTCATACATTTTAAATGTAAAATAAATCAATGAAAATGACAAAAAAAAAACCCAGAATAAAGATTTTTGAAACCCCGTTAAATCAAGTGTTCTTTTTAAATTAATCTTACTATTTACTTACAAGACTGAAAATTAAACTATTCCCCGCTCTACACACATTTATCTCAAATGAGAGATAGGTTTTTGTACTTTCTTTTTCTTATTTGAGGCAACATCTTTTAATTTGTTCTGTCAAATATTTCAATTCAAGCTAGATTATCTTTAGTTGAAAAAAGATTGTAAGTTCCACAGAACTATTTCTTCTTTAACACATCGTTGCCGCAATAATTGAAAACACAGCGAGTTTTAGATTTTTATCGTTTTTTTTTTTAAATTTTTTTTTTTATTTATTTTTATTTAGTAAAATATTTTTTTTAAATTTTGAAAAGAAAAGATTTTTGTTGTTTTTGGTTTATATATGCATATGTATACATATACACATATATACATAGTTCTAATTTTGGTTATCTGGTAAATGTGTTTTATTTGTTTGTTGTTGTTGCTGTTTTCTTTTTTGTTTTATTGTATAGGAAGCAAAACTTTTAATGCACAAATTTACAATTACTTTCGACGCTTTTTGCAGCGGATCGTTTTCTTCATCTTGTTGTTGTTGTTTAAATTGTGTAATAGTAACTGTAGAAAATAGTATATATGTATATATATACATACATATATATGCATATGTATATATAGCATTTGTAGAAAACGGCGCATTTTCTTCTTTTTTCGAGTTTGTGTGAGAATTACACGATTTGACGGTACAAAATACAAAAAGAGACATACACATATATGTATTGTATATTTATATGCATACATATATATATGTGGTAGTATATATATATATATATGTTCGGTATTTTATAAAATCATAAAATACGTTCATTTATCTTGTGTTTAATGCAAAATACAAATACTAAAAACTCGAGCTTGTTTTTGCACGTGAAAAATTGAATGCATCTCACTTGTGGCTTATGTTTAAACATTTTTTTTCTCATTTGTGTACTGTTTGCAAAGTAGTATTCTTATTTTCTGTTTTGTGTTTGTTTAGTTTATTGGCGGTCTCTGTTTATATATATATATATTGTTATATATATATATATATGTAGATGTATATATATGAGTCAAAAAAGTTTGTAATTGGTATGTTTATGAATGCTTGCATTTTAACCCCTTTCAGTATGTTTTTTTGTTATGTAGTCCGTTTATCATAATTTGCCTTAAGACTTTGAAAAAATGAATAACTGCATCATCACTCAACGCCACACACACACACATACACTCGCGTACGCACAGACACAGACACACTGACACACATACACACGCACAGCCACACATACACAAAGGTATTGGACACATTTCTGTTCTGGCTTTTAATCTCAAAATCAACGGACACAACTGATATACTAGGATAATAGATAGGTATGCATACATAAGTGTGTGTATATACATATATATATACGAGTAAGTATGTATTGGTAGTTTCGAGTGTTGACTGATTTCGACGCCGTCAAGAGTTACAAATAATAATAATAATAATGCGATATTTATTATTGTTGTTTACTTCGGTTAATAACTACTCTAGACTGTATATAAAATCAAATCCGCGTTTGACATTCCTTCTTCTTCTTTTTTTGTTGTTTTTGTTTTGTTTGCCCGTTTCATCTTCATATTCTTGTTGTTGTTGTGTGTTGTAGCTTGTTTGTGGCTGTAGCTATAGGTGTTATTGCTGCCGTTGCTTTCTGCTTGTTGCCGGATCCCGCATCATGCTAGCTGATTGCAGTAGTTGTTGTTGTTATTCTCGTAAAAGGTGTGTGTGAGTGTGTATATGTGTGTACATGGGTGTGTGTGTTTGTGTATGTATAGAATTCTTTTTTTTGTTATTTGCTCTTTTAGAGCAAAAGGCATTTGGGCTTCTTCCGCTTTTTAACTTGCAGTGCAGCCCTGGTTGCTGTCTCGAAAACTTCTCGCACACCCTCCTTGGACTTGGCCGAACATTCCAAATAGGCAAAGGCATTTATCTTCTCAGCCATAGCGCGTCCCTCCTGCGGCTTAACCGGCTCCTGCTTCATCTTTGCCAGATCCTGCACAAAACCAAGATAAATATAATTTTATATGCGACACTCTATGAGTATTGATGGAGAACTTACCCGAATTGTGTTAGGATCATTTCGCAAATCTTTCTTATTGCCTACCAAAATGATTGGAACATTGGGACAAAAATGTTTGACCTGAAAATAAGAATACCCAATTGTTATTATAAACATACAGTTTGTAAATAAACAATTCTGATTTCCAAACGACTGCTTACCTCTGGCGTCCATTTTTCGGGAATATTTTCTAGCGAATCGGGTGAATCCACTGAGAAACACATAAGTATAACATCAGTGTCGGGATAACTCAGCGGTCGCAGTCTATCATAATCCTCCTGACCAGCTGTATCCCATAAGGCCAACTCCACCTAGAAAATAAATGCACAGAAAAAGAATCACGTCATTATATTTGTGTGTGAAGAGGTGTCTGTTGTATTATATATAAGTAGGTATATATGACAATGCATATAGTAAGTTTATATGGAGTGATAACACGACGCCCGTTAAGTTCATCGCAATTATGTGGCACAAAAGCCCGTTTCAATCATCATCAACATCATCATCATCATCTTCACAAAGGCGAAGAAGTCGTTCCAGACGAGAGTAGTCAACTTCAAGTTGAGAGATAGCAAAAAGCAAGGAACTGGCGGAAATGCCAAACGTATTAATCAGACACAATACGTAGAATGACGTGAACGACAGACACACACACACACACAGATACATACATATGTACATCACATGTAAGCGCTATCCAAACACAACATACAAGCGCAGCCATATTGTGCTGCGCAAATTGTTCATACCAAAAAAAAAAACTAAACTTATGAAAATATTAGAAACGCGAAACATTTAGCAAATAACTGAAAATCAAAAATAAAATACACAAAACATGACTTAATGCAAATCAAAATGGCAACAGCAGTATTTTTTTTTGTCTTTTTTCTTTTGGCTTATTTTATTACAATTGAGAGCAAGAGCGTGGTGTGCTATTGGCTCCAAACGTGAGCGCAGGTAACAATTGGATGAGGGGGGAACGAAAGAGAGAGCGAGAGACATACAAATGTATATAAATACCAAGAGAGAGAGAGGGAAAGAGATTGAGAGAGAGCGGGGGACAGCAGCGCGCAAAACTGTATGTGCGCAACGGGCTTGTATAAGACGAATAAAAAGAGCAAGAGCGCACAGCAAGAAACGGAAGGAAGGGAGCTCTTGCTATACAAGTACATGTTTTAGTATTAGTACGTGTGTGAATGTGTATGTTTATGTATATGTGTGTGTGTATGCGTGCGTGCGTATAGTATGTAAGTCTGCCCGTTCGTTACGTGCGCAAGGAGAGTAGAGGGCGAGAGTGGGAGAAAGAGAGGGTGAGCGAGCGAGCGGGTGTCTAGTTTGCCTGTCTACTTGTCTGCCTTCCAACAATTGATATTGACTCACAACTTTTTTTACAACATGAGCGCAGAATGCAGCGCTGGAAAGTGAACGGTGGAGGGTGGTATGGGGGGTCCTAGTTGAGAATATATGGAGAGAAAAAACTACACAAAGTAAGAACGATGATCAGATGATTTTGCACGCTGCAAGATGAGACGAGTTGCGAGGGAGGGGAGGACACTGGAAGTTGTGATTAGAGTTGGGTGTCGTATTTTCTATCATGACACGAGCACGAAAAAAAATACAGATTTCTAAACAGCATCACGCCTATTTTAAAAATACAAATGAATATGAAAGCAATATATTTTGTTAACTATTACGAAAAATGCAAAACTATAATTAATAAAAAGGTTTTTCTTTTATTATTAAAAATAAAAGAAAATACCTAAATATTAAATTGACAAGAACTTATAGCAAAAAGTTGTTTGTTTAAAAAAAAAGACATTGTTCACGTGCTTATCTTTGGGAGGGATTTATAAAAAGTGGGCTATAAAGTGGAGCTTACCTGTTTGCCATCGACTTCGATATCGGCGACATAATTCTCGAAGACGGTGGGCACATAGACCTCGGGGAATTGGTCTTTGCTGAAGACGATCAGAAGGCAAGTTTTACCGCAGGCACCATCGCCGACAATTACCAATTTCTTGCGAATCGTCGTCATTGGAGGTTCTGGAATTGGCAGAGAGCAGAGAGTAGCAAAGATGCAAACACCGACGACGGACGACGTTGGCGGCGATGCGATGCGTTCTGTTTAATTTATTTGCGAAAACTGCGCGAGCTGCTTGAAAAAAATATCAAAGTGAAAAAAACACAGAAATACACACAGTCACAAACACACATGAACATACACATATACATATGCGCGCAGTGCTACAATCTCTCACTCACACACATACACACACACTTGAGTCATACATTTTGAATGGCTCTCCCATTTGTTGTTGCTTCTGCTTCTGCTGCTGACGATCTATAGCAGAGAAGAAGAAGCATCAGCGAACAGCCGCATGAGGCTTTTTTAACAATCAACCGTTGTTGTTGTTGGTGGTGGTGGGGGTTCTTTTTGGCCAGTTATTATGTATGCATGTAAATCCAAATGCATCCATCTCCAATTGTGCAGCACTCTACTTCATACATACATATTTTTATTTACGTGATTGGTATTCGTATTGGGCAGAATCGGCAATCGCTCCACATTTAATACATATTTATTTACTTTTCTTGAAATATATATGTGAGACAGTCCAATGGTCGCGTCATTGGTCTGTTTCCTCGCCCGCCAACAACTCTCTTCGTGCGTTTATTCCAAAAACATCATCGCATTTATGTACATACATACACACATACACATACATATGTTGTCTGTGAGTTCGATTGCTGTGACTGTGTGTGAGCGCATAGCAGTGTGTGTGTGTGTGTGGAATTTTTTCACTGCTCTTTCAACTTTTCTCACTTACAATTAAATATATATATTTTTTTTGCAAACACTCAGTACGAATTCGACACTTAAAATGCTTACAAAATGGCACAAATATGTTGATTCTTATGCGTCTACCGTTATTCGTTTCGTATAAAAGGTATTACAATTAAAAATTCGACGTTTTTTTTTCTCATGCAAAATGACGATGAATTTTCTTGGTAGATGAACAACCAACGCCTTCGAGCGCCGCAGAGTTGCACTTTTTTGACAGTGTTGAACAATTTCAGCTAAAAAGATTACCTGCACAGCAAAAAGAAAATAGACACAAGCGATTCTGTTCTGTCATTTTCTGCTACAAATTAATAATGAACTTCCATTAATCACTTACATTGTAACATATATCTAATTTTTTTGATTGTGGTTTGGATAAGGCGTTCAGAGTTGCACTGGGAGATTGGGGAAACTGTGACTCAGCTGCAACAGTGACAGCTACTTTCAAAAATCACTCATCACTAATCTGCTTCTTCTTCTTGAAACTCAAGTCGCATGGACTGGCATTATTATTATTTGGTTATCCAAAATAAACAATTATCTCTCTTTAAAATTAATCAATGAGCATAAAGCTATAATCATGAAGATTAAAAAGAGCAGTGTTGAGAACGGAGTTAAAATAAAAACGAAACCTATGAAAGACTTCAATCCTAATAGAAATTTCGTGAAAGTTACGAAGCGTAAATCAAAGACTTTCCCAATCAACAGATTTGAAAAACGATTTAAATTAGACACTGAAACTGGAAACTCCAACAATGATTATGGTAAGAAGTTGAATTATTGTATAGTTAAGTTTTTTAAAAAACATTTCATTACAGAGATCACCTCTGATTTGAAGAGCGATGATAAGGAGTACAGTGAAAATGTAAGCTCTGAATATTTATTAAAAGAGCATGAATATTTGATTGGGGAATTCAAATTTTTTGTAGATGAGAAAAGGGTAGAAAAATCATTGCTATTTGATATTGAAGATCTACCAGAAGCAGAAATTATCTCAATTCCGTTAGGAAACGGAACAAACCCAACAAGCGAAATTGATCCGGAAACTGAAATTCCAAGCGAATCTATAGATTCTGAAGAGCCTGGAGGAGAAACCCAAGTGGCTAAAGATGCGGAGATGCCAAGTAAGGATAGCACGGAAACGGATGCTGAGGATCTGCCGGAGTTAAGCATATTTGAGAACAGCTTCAAGAGCAACATTGTGCTTGCTGTGCTCAAACAGGATGTAGAATTTTATGGCACCGTGGTGGTCACCTTGCTATGCGGTCGCATTACAATTAATGGCTACAAAGCACGCCCCATGGATCCATTGAACATATATTCGCCTAAGGGATTCAACTGGGTGGTCATTTCGCCGTTGGCCAACAAGAAACCGCCCAAAGACAATGTCAACTGGCAGGATCTCAACGAGAATTTCTCGCGCGCTCAGCTGGACAACATTTTGGGCAATTACAATGCCCAATGCGATGCAATTGTACTGCTGCAACGGAATACCGGAGCACAGAATCTGCTGGCAACATTTGCCAAGCACATGGCAGAGAATGTTTTCCCGCTGGTGAATGCCACGAATCGTCCACACTATGCCAGCGAATATTTACTCAATTCCCTCGTTCAGTGTGCGGACAGGCGAGGGGGAGCGCTGCAGGTGCCCACTGTCTGGACAAAGCTGGCGTTGCAGTCGGGCAGCCGGCTTATGGTCACCGGTGGCAAGGGTGTGGGCAAATCCACACTGATCCGTTACCTCATCAATCGGCATTTAGAACGCTTTCAGAAACTGTTGGTCATTGACCTGGACATTGGGCAGCCGGAGTTATTTGTGCCCCAAACGGTTTCATGTTGCGTCATCGATGCACCACTCTTGGGACCCGGTTTCTTTCTCAACAAACAACCCGACATGGCTTTTGTTGTGGGTCATGTGAATGTGGTGATGTGTGCCGAGGAATACGCAAGATCAGTGCGACATTTGTTGGGCCATTGCCGGGGCGTGAAGGGATATGCAAAAATGCCTTGGCTGATCAATACGATGGGCTATAACAAAGGATTTGGCCTTGAACTTATGGCCCTAATCGTGGATTGCGTCCAGCCAACGGATGTGGTGCAAATAGCCAGCAACCGGCCCATTAACAATTTCGAGGAGCCACTCGACAGCAAATCCTTAGCTCGAGTGGTGCCCATCATCTACACAGCGGATGAGTTCAAGCGGAGCGATGACTTTCCGAAATATGCGTTGCATCAGTTGCGCAGCGCGTTGCCGCCGCCGAATCGTAGCTACGATCAACCTTGGCTGATGAGTGCCAAGGATGTGCGCTATTCCAATTTCCTGGCGCGGCTAAGCCAAGCATTACGCGGTAATGCGAAGCACCTCACAGACTGTCAACCCCTGCAGATCGATCTAAATAAGCTGCAGATTCTGTGTCGCCCAGCGGAGGATTGGACGCGTGAGGAGCTCATCGCTGGCGTCGAGGCCAACTTGGTTTATCTGTGCAAATCCGCCGCAAGCAATCAGCCAGTGGAGTGCTTTGGCATCGGTAAGTAGACATCAATTAATCACTCCTCAACTATCATTCAATTATCGATCTGCACAGGTGTTGTTCGTGCCATTGACTACGATGCGGAGAAACTTTATCTGCTGCCGGCGATGCCTTTGACTCGACTTTTGAAAGTCAATTGCCTGGCTCTTGGCGGAGATTTGAGCCTGCCGCAGGGCTTCTTCAAGCATCAGGGCGCAGGCGTAGCTAACAACGTGCCATATGTCTTCATCATCGACGACTCCAAGTCGTCCAAGAGCATACAGCACTTCTACCATCGACCACCTGAATTCCTCGGACAACCTGTCATCAAATAGTAAATCTATCCAAGTAATAAATTCTACATATATAAATGAATATGTGTAAAATTAGCCTGTAAGCATTTGGATATTATTGAATGTTTTTAGGTTGAATGAAAAAGTGACAGCGATTTTTAAAGTGAACTTCCAGATAATGGGATAAAATAGCTAATGTATATAGAAAATCGGAATATCACCTTGCACCCAGGCAGCAAAGAATCTTCAATTTGTGTAAATTATTGGGATGTTTGAATTTGGCAGCCTGAGAAGCATAATATAAAAAGGGTAATGTTAATTGTAATTACTATGCTTCGTGCACTTGAGTTGCAGCCAGTATTAACAGCGCTCTCTTTGTGGGGCGCTCTCTCTGCTAAGAGCGCCCGCTGAACCGCTGGCTGCAGCAGCCAAACATTCGGACCGTATCATACTCGCTCATGGTTACTCTGTACAAGGTAGGCAACATGCCAATTGCGCGTCACACCTGACAGCAGCTGATGTGCAGTTTGCTCGTGAAATATTTAATAAAGATACGATTCATTGCAACTATAACTTGAGCTCCCGTCAAATTTTGGCAGGCAGACAAAACTTAACAGCTGTTAACACTGGCTGGTAGCTGAAAATAGCCTAAGAATCGTGTCGAATTTACTCTTGTTAGAAGATTTAAGGTTTGCTTTACCTCTCCGTACATAATTCATTTTGTTGATAAATGGCTAAGCATTTTGCTTCAAGCCTTATTTGTACCTTAAGCTATTAAAAAGCTGAGGCTTATTTAAAATTCTCTAAAGTACTTTTTTAATTTCCACAGATCTTTGCTCTATACTTTGTTTTTAGAAGGGATGAGCAGTATATAGGATTCAATGCAATATATGGGATCAATCCTCAATCACAAATCAATCGCCACAAAAAACTTTGCTCATTGATTATAACAAGAAATGGTTTATTTTATTATTTTAGACTAGTGGGATAGATCGTGTCGACCCTTGAGGATGCGTCGCATCAGCACTCTGCGTCCTTCCGGCGTTGACATGCGCGTCTCCCAGCCGTGGACATTGATGCGCTTCACCTCGCGGGGTTTGGGAAAATGACAGCGCACCTTGGGCTTGAGCACAGCACGATCGAAGGCATGCTTCTGGCGCACGAACAGCGTTTGAGCTGTGTTCAGCGCCGAGAGACACGTTCTGTAATCACCGAATTTATTAATGTTTCACATATAAAGTACGTTTATTATGCATTATTTACCTTTGTAGGAAACCTTGCAGCATGTTAAGTAAGTTTTGCGATTGTAGTGTAACCGTACTGTGAGCGGCTTAAAATCCCTTATTTCTCACTGGCAGTGTTGTTAAGGAGTTGTGCATTCAATGCTATCGATGTATTCATCGATTGCGATGTTGTTGTATGGTTGAGCAGTAGCATTTTGACGTTAGTCGCTTGCGGTCACATTGTCATTCGAGTGCCGTCGTTTGCTCCAACAATAAAAAGCGTTTGGAGCCGTATGTTTTCCTATGTTGTTATACTAGAAAAAAGTGAAAAGCTCGCCTCGCTAGCAAGCCATGTAAAGACTTAAACACAATTGAAGTAATTCACGCGTTTGCTAAACACTGAGAGTTCCAAGAAGAGTGTGCAAGAGGTCAAGTGAAAAAGCCTACATTCATTGTATGTGTGTATGCAAGTGCAGCTGCTGTGTGCGTGAGTGTGTGTGTGTATGCGTGTGCATTGCGCATGTATGTGTGTTGCACTGTTCGAACACACAATTTTGGCAGCAGCAGCCGAAGACGAAACTGAAGTGCATATTATACGCAAAACTTAAATAGAAGCAGCGCCAGAGGTGAGTTAGTTATGTGTTTGTGTGTGTGTGTGTGAGTCTGTCTGCATTGAGTTTTATTTTTACCTTAACTGCACTTGTGTGAGTTGGATGCATGCATTTGTGTGTGTGTGTGTGAGTTTCTGCATGTTAATTAGCCTAATAAGCAGAAGAAGAGCAGAAAAAGTAGACGCAGCATTCGCCTAGCCAAAAATACAACATAAAAATCGATTTTCCTGAACTTGCAATTTTCCATGCCTCACTGACTCCATGGAGCAGGCAGAGCAGCAGCACCAGCAGCAGGCAGCAGCTTGGGGGAGCCGGCGTAGCCCCAACGCTGACGTCGCTGTCGCTGTCGACGTCGACGTCAACGTATGCGGCATGGAATGCGTCTAGCAAAGCGAATGCGGGGCAACATCATAAAGTATACATAAATTGAATTTCGAAACACGGAAGCGATGAGATGTGAGCTAAAAGATGAGAGATGAGAAGACTCCACACAAAACGCCCCAACAAGTTCGGTTTTTGTTGTTGTTGTCGATGATGCAAAGCACATGTGTGTGGCGTAGTGTGTGTGTGTGTTTGTGTATATGTTTGTGTGAATGGGTGCTTGTCTCACTGATTTCTTGTCCATCAACACTGAAACTTAAGGCAAATAATATAATAAGAGTTTGCTCTAGTTGAGAGTGTGCTCGACTCGCAGATACACTGCTTATAGCATTCATTCATATTTACTCTGATAGATTTTTAGTTGTGAGTAAAAGTGTCTTTTAAATTTATAAGTTCAAGGAAGGTTTTTAAAGTTCTGCTGCAAATTTCATTATTATTTTTTTCGCAGCTGTATATATAAATATCAAGTTTTGCTGCAAATATCTACAAGTCTAAATAATAATATTCATATGCAAGTTCTTTGGGTGCAAAATTAACATATTCAAATGTCTTTCAAAGCCAAAAAATTTGCCATAAACAAAGTTCAGTATCTTAACAACTTTCGATTTCTGTGCGTGCAATTGTTTGAAAATGCAAATTGTAATTAAAGTTTAATTATATAGCCCTTCAATTATGCAAAAGGCAATGGCTACAAATGTACATATGTATAATTCAATCAGATCTCTTATTATGCAAGGGGACCAAAGTCCTTGTCAAAAGCATACATTATACATGCATGTTAAATATTAGAACACTTAATTACGCCCTTGTTTACCGTATTATGGGGTATAAAAACTCGACCAGTTTTCAGTTAACAGATTTTTGCAATCACAAATGCTGTTCACAGAGCTGTCGCAGTCTCGGTCACAGTCGCAGTCGCAGTTGCAGGGCAGCTGTCACAGCAGCCCTTTATTTATTTTTTTTTGGGCATCCCTTCCCCACTCCTTTCGCTCATTCACTCAGTCAGTCAGTCAGTCACTCACTTTTGCTAGGTCTGTGTTTGTGTTTCCTCTTGCCTTGTTGTTTGTGTGTGTGTTTTGATGACGGCACTCAGCCCAAAACAGCGACGCCAGCAGCGACGGCGACGGCGACGCTGACAGCGACAGCGACGCACCCGCACTGATTTTAACCGTGTGCGTGCATGTGTGCGTGTGTGTTTGCACCAATACACGTATACAGCATTAGCAATTCTTGTTTTTGTTGTTTTTTTTTCTTTTGGCGGATGCTGTGTGCGTGGCCAAAAGGGGGATGTCCCTTGTCCCCGTGTCCCCTTGTTTGCCCTGTCCCGCAAAGTCTGGTCTGTGTCCCTTATTTGTATTTGCTTCCGCCAGGCACCCCTCAATGCGTTCGTGCGTGTGTGTGTATGTGTCTGTGCTTGTGTGAGGCAACTAAAATTCACTTTTACGACCATTTAGCATAGGTTGTGTTTTCCTACTCTCATTCGCGTTGCCATTCTCATTTCCATTCTCATTCTCCCATTCTCTCATACAGTTACACACTTCCTGGCACTCTTTCGCCCATCGTTTAGTTTTATTTGATGCGTTTTTAATCACACTGCGTCAATTTGGCCGCCCGCTTGGTGTGTTGAGGGCGTCATTTGACTTGCAGGCAGGCGCCTGCCTGGTCCCGTTACTCTCATTTTGTCTACACAGTTTGTCATCTGGACGCATTCCGATTCCGATTCACATCACCAGCTGCGTTTTATATGATTATAATTATAGGGCTGGCATTAAAGCTCTTATTCTGTACACTTTCTTTCGCTTCGTATGTTTTCCCACTTCTCCTTTTTCCACTCGACAAAGAAAAAATATAAAATAAAAATAAGTGAAGAATTTTGTGTGTGTGTGTGTTTCTGCTGACTGACTTCCTCTCTGGCATTTTGACCGTACACATTTTTCAAATATACCAGCAGACTGTGCTGCAGGCCAGTGGCTTTCATACTCTAACCTGCTCCCAAAAAGGGTAACTTGCTTGTATGTTTCAATTTTAATTTGTAACTGCAGTGCATTAAACTAAATTCATTTTAATTAATGAATGAATATTCATTTTAATAAGTATATATTCGGGCCTAGAAATTGACAGTTCTTGTGTTGTGTTGCGTTGTGTTGAATATTTATTTCACAACTTTTTGAAATAGAGCGAAAATTGTGTGTGTTTTACCAAATTAAAATGACCAGAATTTTGATAGTGAAATATTTAATTTAAAATATTCTGATCTCAAGAGCAAGAGCAATAGAAATGTTGCTCTGATATTGCTACTGCTATTAACTTTAACCCCTAAGCAGACATTACATTATATTGCAATCGCATATTTAATTTGCTCATTTTTTGCTCCTCGTAGCTGCTACCAGTAGCAATAACAAACTGAAAAACTTCGAGGCAGCGACGCATTCTCATGCAATGGTTTAATATAAAGGATAGATTGATTTTAATTTGTACACAATTAAAAATAACAGAATTATAATCGTTATATGTTTATTAGTTAGAGCATTGGCTAGCCGTTAAGATTTCGTTATTTGAATTTTTTCTTCTCCATGGACTGTTGTGGAGTACAGAAAAATACTTGTATACGGAATATATTCGTATCATGGCAGCAGCTGTTGTTCGAACCGGCAACGCATTGCCGCAGCAGCACCCATAACAAGAAAAGCAACAACAACATTGGCAACGGCTGTCGACTTCATCAACGCCTCCAAACTGTTGTTGTTCTTGCTTTTTTTGCTGTGTGTTTGTTTTTAGCATTTGTTTGGTTTTATTTTTGGAAAATACACACTTTTTTCTCGTACAAATTCAAGCAACAAATACAAAAAGAACAACAACCACAACAACAGCAGCAATAACTTCAGTTGTCATCCATTATGCATGCCAGCGAACTGTGCTCACACATTGGTGCGCCGAGTTTTGCGATTGTGTCGACAACTGTCGACGTTGCAACTTCAACGCCACACGCTGCACCCGCCACACTCCACACACTCCACACACTCCACACACTTGCCTTGGCCAAAATGGCGACCCTATATAACATATATACATAAGTTGTTGGGGCCCCACGCAATAAAAATATTTTTGTTATGACTTTGCAAATGTATCGCTTCACATAGGCTTCAAATCACATTTGCAACGCAACGGAGCAATGGCCCCCAGTATCTCCACTGGCTCCAGTTGCAAATCGCACATCGGAATTCAAGCGGTGACTTCGTGCCACGTGATTATTAATCAACTTGGCACATTAATCAAAATCCGACACTCATCGTTGGCATGAAGACCGAAAAATAATGTCATTTCAATTTTGTTGAATTTGGTAATCATTGCCTGCGGCTATCGTTATATTCTGTGGACATAGTTGGTGTTAAATGGCTCTAAAGTCTATGACAAACTTGACAAATGGGAGCCGACTGCGAAATACTCTGATTTCAGTATTACGCCAGCTATGTGAAGGTGACAAGGGAACTTCTTGAGGGGGTCAACCATTGAATAATCATTAGAGGATTTCGTAACTCAATCTTTAAAATTGCGGGAGATAAAGCCTTCTCCAATTTTTGGGCTTGACTTGGTCATTTGGTAATTATAATTTCTTACTAATTTTAGTAGGACGTAAAATAAGCTAAATTTCTTTTTGGCAGCTATAATCAGAAAGGATAAAGTAATATCCAACGGGAAGAACAGATTTAGAATATTCACTGGTCTTGAACTGTAGATTAAGAGGTAACCTAGCTAATCTAGGTGTAATTAGTAAAAGAAGAAAGAAGAATAGTCCTCAAATCACATCATAGCAGAATGTGTCGCCTTTTCCAGAAGAATTATCTCCCGCGGGAAAGATGAGTTTATGTTCCAAGTATCAAGTCTATAGCTCTAAAGGTATTGAAGAAGATAGCAGCACGGACATTGATCAAAATCAATTTATTCTTATAGCTTCGATCGCAGAGTGCAGATTAGTCTTTTAGAAGTGAGTAAACTCAATGAGTAAATGCATGAGTAAACTATTAAAACACAATGATTCACGTAGATAAGTAATTCAGTTGTGAGTACAGGGTATGGTATAGTCGATAAGTTTTGACTTGCGCATATCTAATTGTTATTATCTCAGCAACAGCTGTTGTTGTTGTAGCTGTGACACAATTTTCTCTCAGCTTTGTTTGTCTTAATTTGAAATCAAATTGAGACCAATTTGGATAGTCCCCAAAAAAAGGGGCGTGGCATGCAAGTCATGCCTAAAATAAAACAACAATGTTGTCGTCGTTGTCATCGTCACAGTCCAATTACAGCCAATTAAACGCTATCGAACATTTTGATATGGGTACATTAAGAGCTGCATCTTCATTTGCAGTTGCCGGCTTGGCTCGGTTCAATTTGTGTGTGTTGTGCGTTGTGTGTGTTGATTATTTGGTTACTTGGCGCCTGGTTGACTGCCTCGTGTGCGTGCCTCTTTGCTTGTTACGTGCCGTTGCCTCTTTTTCCAGCTTTTTCGGGTCAACACCATTTTTGGCTAACTCACATGCAGATGCCGAGTCTGAGATGCAGTTGCAGTTGCAGTCATCGCCATTCCGGCTGATTGCTCAATAAAATATCTTGGGCTCGTTACGCATTGTGAAATCGCCGGAAATTGGGTTACATATAAAAGCTACCTTTTGTTTTTGTTATCTATCTGTGGACATATCTCAAAAGTGATATCATATCTCTGTTCGGCTTTAGCTCGCACATGAATATGCATATTATTATAAGGTAGATAAAAGCCCAAAAGTCATATTTAATACCCATCATGTGCCGGGCTTTTCTTTGACTTGACGGCTGCCTGCCTTCTGTGGCAACATGGACAAAATACCTAAGCAACTAGATTCTGTTCTCTACTTCATAATTTACATTCTCAATATTTAGTTTATTTGCTTCCATTTTGGCATAAAAACAGCTTTTTACTGCAGCCACTGTACATTTCATCATGTATTCGAATATTTATGATACTTTATAGCATAGTTTCGCTGGTTTATTTAGAAAATTTGGACTGATTGATAAATGTTTGTTTGACTTGCCTTTTCTGTGTTTCCGTTGTCATTATTATGTGAGTGGCAAAGTTACTGCTTAATTTAAATAAAACATTTGCGGAATGAATAGTAAAACAATTAAATAAAATATGTATGAATGTACAGAATATTATCTCTTCGGAAAATGGATAGGCATTATACTCTACACACTGTGCAGGCAGTCAAGAATGTAAGAAATATTGATAGTGGAATCAGGTCATTGATTATTATGTGATTGTCTCACTTAAAAGAAAATTATTGAATTAAAACCATTTTGCTGACTCTCGGGGTCAGTTGTAATTCTCTTTTTATAACAATAAATTTGTTATTTAGCTATTTCCAGTAGTTTCCGCTGCTATCATCAGCAAATTTCCAGGTCAGGGTGGTTTTTTTTATTTTTTATTTATAAGTCAGAAGCAAATTTGTGTGTTTAGCTTTAAACATTTCAATATAATTTTCACACAGGCAATCTGTTCAATTATTGTTATTCTTTTTGCTGCAAAAATTCTTCGTTTCATTTTACTTGATGCTTTTAATTTGTTCTCATTAATTCGGGAAAAATATATTCAAAGTCTATAGTTCAAATTTAATGCACTCCCTGGCGACCTGCTGCCTCTCAATTTGCCATCTGTGTCAGCTTAGCGACTGCTCCTTAAATTTCAACAAGTTTTTATGCTTAAAGCTCAAAATAAATCGCATTGCTTGTCATTTATTTGTTCTTTTTTTTTTGGTTTTTGGTTTTTGGTTATTGCTGTTGTTGTGTTTTTTAATGCTTTTTAGCAAGAGAGAGAGAAACTTTTGGCTAAACTCAACAGAACCCAACTGAACTGAACTGAACAGAACTGAACTGGGGTTCTATTTTTGGTAATTGTGGCCTGCTTTCATTATATTTTCTACTTGTGCTCAGACTAATGTGCATCCCCAGCTTTTCCAGGGTCCGGTTCCAGCTCATTGACGATATAATACATTTTGGTGGGTGGGGGGTGTTGAGCGAAGGCTATTTTCAACAGCAATATTGTGGGTCAAACATGCGTTGTCATAGGGAAATAATACATATGTGTATGTACAATATGTATGTATGTATGCATGTATGTATTTCTCAACATATATTGTATATATAACAATTTTTCAATCAGGCAGCAGCGTAAACAAAATGCAAGCAACAAACAATCCATTAAAAGTTCATTGGAGACGCGCCCATTGCGGGGCATCGAATTAATTAAAGCTCCTACAGAGCAAGAAAAAGAGTGAGAGGAACACATTTAGTGTGACGCTGAGAGGGAGAGAGGGAGATGGCGAGATGGAGAGGAGTGAGTAAAGAAGGGTGAAAGCTGTACAACAAGATTGAAAGAAATTGTTTTTCATTATTTCTTGGAAAACACACATGTATGAAATATATAAGTATTTCAAGTTAAAACCGAGCATATCAGCAATTGTTCGTCCACTCAAGCACCCTGTATTATTTGTAATTAGTTTTACTTAACAAAGTCAAAAACTTTGCTGACTTGCAGAAAAACATGTTAGAATTGTTTTTAGAGAACAACAGTTTTTAGAAATGCCAAAAATAGTAAAAACATTATTAACAAAACAATTTATTCAAATATTTTCATGTGACACTTAAGCTTAACAAATAGTTAATGTAAAATCTGTAGATATTAAGTATATATTATGTTCATATTTACAGAGAAATAAAGGCCATTATTAATATTATGATAACTTTGGAAAATTGTATTGATGGCTTGAGGAATTACACATGTGAAACCTTTTTTCTCCACTAGTCTGACACACTCCACGCCACTTTCGACTATTTTACAGGGTATGCAAGAGACATAAGTCAAAATGCCGCGTAAGCCGCAGCAAGTCAACTCAAAAGTCTGTTTCTTCAGTGCGCTCTGCCAATAAGTAGGCGTAGTTTGCCCACGAACAGCTTGTTGTGTGTGTGACACTGTGTGCGTGTGCGTGTGTATATATGTATGTGTGTGTGTGTATGTGTATGTGTATGTGCGTGCGGTCATAATGAAAATAAATTTGTTTATGCGCTGACTTTGTTTGGTAGGCTAAAGAAAGAAGTTCTTTGTTGCTGCTGCTGCTGCTGCTGCTGCTGCAGTCGAAAGTTGCCTGCAAGAATCAACACTTTTGTGTCACGTAGCACATGCAACAGCAGCAGCCACATTAACTAGCACATACGCATACATCGTATACCTAGTATAAAGACATTTATACAAAATAAGAAGAAAAGATAGAAAAAACGGCACCTTTGCCGCCGCCCACTTGGAGTCGCTTAGATGTAACGCTAATTGGATGCACTTTGGCCCATTTGGCCGCATGTGGAGCAAGCTGGTCGAGGAGAGATAATGAAATGCCCGCAGCAGGCAGACAGACAGAGAGACAGTTAAACTTCCAACCAGGCAGTCAGCCAGGCAGCCAGCCAGTCATCCAGTCAGCGAATGCTGCCACATGCAGCATGCAACATCCCTGCCGAGTGCCACTCAGCACTAAATGCATGGCTAATCACATTATAGATAGCGATATGTCTTTGTGCGGCACTTGAATAGCTCTTGTGGCTCCCCAAAGCGTGGGCGAATCATCATCATCAACAGCATCGTCATCATCATCAGCATCATGATGATGTTGAGTTTTTATGGATTGGCGCCTTTTGTTCTTGGCGTATATAGTAGAGCTGTTGTATACCTTTATTAGTTTGCTTTTGTCTATTCAATTTATGAACTGAACTCTCGACTCTATTGAACTCTGCGCTCCGAGCTGAAGTTGCAGCAGGCACAGCTTCAACACACACACACACACACACACTCACATACACACATGCACAGAGAAAAAACTTGATTCTCTGTTAGTTTTTGTATGTTTTTTTTGTCTCTGTTTGTTGTCTCTGGCGACTGTTTTGCATTTGGCGTAATGCTAATTCATTTGCATGCCGACAAGAACTAAAAAACAACAACCCACAACAACTTAACTGCCTGTGTGCCTGTGTGTGTATGTGTTTGTGTGTGTATGCCTCATTCTCATTCATGCCAAAACTGCTGCCAACTTGACTGATGGCCCCGACATGCTTGGCTGCATTTTAAGTTCATCATCTATTTGTGGCATATTGCTTGCCTGCCTGCCTGCTTGTGTTCTCTGTTGTACTCCATGCTCCCAGTGCCCAGTTCTTACCCTCTGCTCTACTCCTCCTCCCCATTTACAGTACACCCCCTTTGGTTATCTATATATTTCGAGCGGTCGTCTCATTGCTATGCCAGGCAGGAGGCGGAACGAGCTGTTCAATTAATATTGTTGCCCACTTTGAAAACAAACAAATTGGCTGCAAGTGTAAGCTAAGCAGCAAGTAGTAATGCTCGAGTCGAGAGTGCTCGACTAAGAGTTGCTCTACACCCATAGAGAACCCTTACTTGCCATTTTATTCTTCCCAGTGCGCAATACAATATCGTTTTTCTGGAATATTTCCCATTTTGCCTCAGCCATTAAGCATTTACCTATTTTTATTTTTAACACGAAAAATGTGTAAAATCTGCCAAAGTCCTCCTCTTCTATGCATGCACTTTCAATGCATTAATACACAGCCCGACAATAACGATGCTATAAAAATTAAAAATGTCTTTTATGCCACATTAAAATCTGCTATATATAACATACATATATCGGTGGACTGATCTTGACTATATATTCCAGCTGTGTGTATTTTTCATGTGTGTGTTTTTTTCTCTTCTATTTTCTCAACTTGTTGCATTTATCATTAATTGGCATGGCCTGGCCTAGCCTGGCCTGTTCGGGTTTGTTCTGGCCACCAACTGGTATTTCTTTGTGCGCATTGATGTATTTAATGCCTCAATTAAGTCGTTTTCCAATTTTTATTAGTTTTCCACGCAGCCCAAGTCATTTTCCACTGCAATCGCTTGAGTATTTATTTGGGGCACATGTGCACAACTCATTCGTTGTATTCAACGCTGAACGCAGCGCTGAATGCGAAATGATTGTTTCGGTATTGGGTATTGGGTTTAAGAATTTAGTTATTCTCTGTAAATAAACGCCGCTCTTGATAAAGTCCAGTTTAAATGGAATGCTGAAATCGACACTTGTCAGACTCAACCGGTTGACTTTGTTCCGATTATGTTTATCAATGGAATTCTTTGCTATTTTCTCTTGCGACACAATCTTATCAATTATGACAAGCACCCATAAAATTCTTGCGAAATATTGCCAAGCCATTTCTATAAATGCAAGTGAAAGTCACCCAGATGGTTTGATAAATGAATCTTGAATTCAACGAATGCTAAAGGAATGTTTGCAATTGTTTTCATTCGCCTAAATTCAAAAGCTTTGCATCTGCAACAATTTAGATAAGCAAGCATGCAAAGTAAATAAATACTATACTATGATTTACTCTATTCCATATGCTATAACAATTTCCTTATCTTTTAAATATAATTGCTCAGTTTTTAAACTTTGTTGGGATTTAATGGGAACTGATCAGATCCACTTAGCTGAATAGGAGATTCACAGACAAGTTCTCTAAATTTAAATAAAAATGCATCTTTTATTTTATTCTATTTATTTCTTATCGATCAGAAATAAAGATAATAATTTCGAGTTGAAAGAAAAAAGAAAAGTTGTTTCTGTAAATCCTACCTACTCATATCTGCATCTCTTAAAAAGTCGCCCAACCACTTTCCATTTTCATGTTATTTATCTAATAAGTATACTGATCAGGCGCTAATTTTCACTCGAAAAGCAAGCAACAAAGCCGTAGAAAACAGTTGTTTATGATAATTACAGTTGGCGCTCGAGCATTTTTCAAGCCACACAAATTGAGTTGGGTGGGTCGGTGACCCAATTGGGCGTATATCTATATATCTATTCATCGTGATGATAATTAAGCATGCATTTAATTAACATCAGCATAACTTGTGCTTAATCAACGAGGCGAGACCTCTATGCTCTCCTACACGAGTCACATGCCATCACATTCATAATTCTCATAAATTTTACGTTTGCTCCTCTTTTGCAGATGACGTAAACGACAACAGCAACAACTATCGCAACAAGAGATAACAACAACGACAAAGTTGACGGCACAAAAGCGTTCACTTTTCCCCACTTTGGAATTGTATATCGCAGCGAAACGAAACTGAAGCTGAAATTGCATTCTATATATATTAGGAGTCGGGAGTCTATATAGAAGACGCCAGTTAGCATATTAGTATGAGGTCGTCTGTCTTGTCGGTGCATTGCAATCGAAGCGCAACGTTCCCAATCTTGTTGCTCTGCTTGCTGTTGGCGGCAAATGCCGAGCGGGATTTCAATGTGAACGACTCTCAGGTGAGTGGCGGGGGAGACGCATAAAAGCCTGCCGCAGAATGCGTCGCTTTGTTGTTGTTGCCACAGTAGCACAGCAGCAGCAGTAACCAACCAGCTGCTTGCCTGTCATTTGTCTGTTAATTTTGATTGATGATGCCTGACACATTTCACTTGAAAATGCCGACAATGATGGCTGAGTGGTCCGGCGATTAGATTGTGGCCACTGTTTCAACTCTTGAACTCTTGCGTTGTTCTGCATCGTTTTCTCTTTGTAGGTGCCCGTCATCGAGCCGAAAGATGCGCCCGCATACACGCAGGATCCATATGTGACGGAGCTGATGCGATGCCAGCCGACACAGTCGGAGATTCTGCTCTCGCTGCTGCTCCGGAAGCATGACTGGAGCGAGCTGAGTCTGGCCAAGCGATCGCATATTCAATCCAAATTGGCCAAGTTCTTTGCCATACCCAAGGTGCGTAACTCGATTGCGGCTAATTAACTCTCGATTCTCACACGAAACATCTTCTTCGCTTTCAGGAATTCATTACGCTGGATTCGGTGTCCAAGCGGGAGCTGGGCAACATGCATAAGATGGCCATGCGCAAGGGCGGCAAGGGTCAGAAGCATGTGGAGACCGCTAATCGTCACCTGGGACGTGCAAGCTTTATGGTAATTAGTTATATTCTTTTTCTAAAATATTCCCGATGACCTAAACTCCTTTTCTTTTTTTTTTTTGGTTTTTTGTAGATCGGCTGTGGTTCGAGTTACTTTAGCATGGGCGAACCGATAGCCAAGCAGATAGCACATCAAATCAAGGACGGCACCATTGGCGCCCTGACCGAGGAGAACTTTGGATTGTGGTTCATATGGCGCAAGGAATTGAAGAGCAGGTACACCAGTTAGCCTCCTAAGCTGCGAGTCAATTAATAGAATAATTTGTAATGTAACTTAAATCGAACAAATGTGTTTGAGTAACACCTCATAAGTGCAGCAGATTTTCATTCTAATCAGTCAATCAATTCATTTATGATTCATTTCATTAGTCAGTTTAGACTGTATATTCAATGTAGATTTGGCTGTACATTTGCAATAGTTAGCGGATGACAAACTTTCAAATTCTCTATTAAACAAATTTCATAAATGATGAATCCAAATAAACAATGGTTTGCAGGCGAATGAACTTTAAATATTTGCTATGCCAAGTGAAACGAATGATTTACATTTGTAAATACGAAAAAGTTGACAGTTGTCTTGCTGCCAGGTCTGTGTTCACTTGCTAACTCATCAGCTAAATACAATTTTAACTGTTTTCTCAAATACCTCGTCGAGATATTGACTAATTCATTCATTCATATGGCTTGCATTGCAGATCACAGAGAAAGCGACGCCAATCGGAGGGCAGCGGTGAAGAGGATGACTACGACTATGGAGACGATGACGAAGATCAGGCACCGTAAGTACTGCATACCAAAAAAAAAAAAACAACCAATATAAAAACAAATATGACAAATTTGATAATTTGTTGGTGTTGCTTGCAGAGAACAAGTTACGGAATTGCCCCCATCGCATGCTCATCGTCATCATCATGGCGCGGTGAGTGTTGAAGTTCAATTTGGATATTGTCATGTCTTCGAACTGGTTTTATTTACCTTTATTGATTTCTGTGGTGTTTCCGATTACCTGAGTTCTTAACTGTTGTTGTCTATACGGCCAAACAGTTCTTTATGTATTATGATTAATAGACAGACCAATACTACGTATAAGTACACACTATGTTATCATTTACGGAAGATCATAATTATGTTTGTTACTGCACTTTGTTGATAACTGCAAAAGACACAAAAACACAACAATCCACCAGCCACAAACTACTCACATATCTATATATCTACATATATATATATGTATATATATACATCAGATATATATATATATATACTTAATCATTGAATTTTGATGAAACGGTTCTTTAACATTGTGTATATGTAATTCATCATATGGTGTTCTCGTCTTTTCTCTCTCTCTCTCTCTCTTTCTTTTTGTCATTTACATTCTCTCAAACTCTCTCTTTCTGTCTCGCTGTGCTCATTTACTTACTGTTACTACCATTGCAATATGAATGTTAATTATTCATTAACTAACAACAACAACAACGAAAACAACAACAACGAAAACTAAAACTACAACTACAATTACATCTACAACTACAACTAAAACTACAACAACTACTACAACTACAACTACAACTACAACTACAACTACAACTACAACTACAACTACAACTACAACTACAACTACAACAAAAAAAACTACTACTAAAACTACAACTACAATTACAACTACAACTACAACTACAATTACAACTACTACTACAACTACAACTACTGCAACAAAAACAACTACAACTACAACTACAACTACAACTACAACTACAACTACAACTACAACAAAAACAACTACAACTAAAACTACAACAACTACTACAACTACAACTACAACTACAACTACAACTACAACTACAACAAAAAAAACTACAACTACAACTACAACTACAACTACAACTACAACTACAACAAAAAAAACTACTACTAAAACTACAACTACAATTACAACTACAACTACAACTACAATTACAACTACTACTACAACTACAACTACAACTACAACTACAACTACAATTACAACTACAACTACAACTACATCTACAACTACAACTAAAACTACAACAACTACTACAACTACAACTACAACTACAATTACAACTACAACTACAACTACAACTACAACTACAACTACAACTACAACTACAACTACAACTACAACTACAACTACAACTACAACTACAACTACAACTACAACTACAACTACAACTACAACTACAACTACAACTACAACTACAACTACAACTACAACTACAACTACAACTACAACTACAACTACAACTACAACTACAACTACAACTACAACTACAACTACAACTACAACTACAACTACAACAAAAAAAACTACTACTAAAACTACAACTACAACTACAACTACAACTACAACAAAAAAAACTACTACTAAAACTACAACTACAATTACAACTACAACTACAACTACAACTACAATTACAACTACAACTACAACTACAACTACAACTACAACTACAACTACAACTACAATTACAACTACAACTACAACTACATCTACAACTACAACTAAAACTACAACAACTACTACAACTACAACTACAACTACAATTACAACTACAACTACAACTACAACTACAACTACAACTACAACTACAACTACAACTACAACTACAACTACAACAAAAAAAACTACTACTAAAACTACAACTACAATTACAACTACAACTACAACTACAACTACAATTACAACTACAACTACAACTACAACTACAACTACAATTACAACTACAACTACAACTACATCTACAACTACAACTAAAACTACAACAACTACTACAACTACAACTACAACTACAATTACAACTACAACTACAACTACAACTACAACTACAACTACAACTACAACTACAACAAAAAAAACTACTACTAAAACTACAACTACAATTACAACTACAACTACAACTACAACTACAATTACAACTACAACTACAACTACAACTACAACTACAACTACAATTACAACTACAACTACAACTACATCTACAACTACAACTAAAACTACAACAACTACTACAACTACAACTACAACTACAATTACAACTACTACTACAACTACAACTACAACAACAAATACAACTACAACTACAACTACAACTACAACAACTACTACAACTACAACTACAACTACAACTACAACTACAACTACAACAAAAAAAACTACAACTACAACTACAACTACAACTACAACTACAACTACAACAAAAAAAACTACTACTAAAACTACAACTACAATTACAACTACAACTACAACTACAATTACAACTACTACTACAACTACAACTACAACTACAACTACAACTACAACAAAAACAACTACAATTACAACTACAACAAAAAAAACTACAACTACAACTACAATTACAACTACAATTTATCTAAAAAAAAAATTAAAAATAAATATAAACAAACCAGTCGGAACACACGGAGATTGTGGGCATGGCCACGTCGACTTCCTCATCTGCCTCGCCAGCTGTCAAATTGGAAGAGGAGGAGATTGAGGAGAGCGTCTCCAAATTGGAGTCTGTCATTAGCAAGACGATTGAGAATACGAAGAACATCAAGGAGCTGCCCGTGCTCAATGTGGACGACGTTGAGGTTGACGACGTTGACGATGTTGAGCTGCAGCAGCTGAGCGTTCCCTCCGCTCTAGCAATTGAGGATAGCGAAAATGAGCTTGGCAATGAGCTGGAACTCAAAACGAGCCAAGAGAAGCAGCTGGAACTGGAACAGCAGCAGATGATAACCACTACAACAGCAGCTGCGCCTGGCAGCAGCAGCAGCAGCAGCCCCATAATTGCAACGGTAAACGTCGCTTCCACAGACCTACAAGATGCTGTCAACAACAATAACCACAACAACAACAACAACAACCAGGTTGACTCTGCGGCCGTCGCTGTTGATGTAGCTGAGCACGCTGCTGCAACGAGCACCTCACAAACGACCACTAACCACAACAACAACAACAACAGCAACAATAATAATAATATTACACCTGCTACACCAGGCACACCACCTCTGCCAGCCCAAACTGTGTCTGTGTCATTTTCACCATACGATGCCAACTCCACTGTCTACCATCCATACTCATCCTCATCCTCATCTCCATCCTCATCCCCAACCGCATCTGCAATCGAAACTGTCGAAACGTCTACAGCCGCCAGCAGCAGCAACAGTAATTCTGTTGCCTTTAGCACCACATTCTCAGCCTCAACCCCGAGCGTTCCCTTCATCATTAGCGGCTCAAGCACACCGAGTGGTGCTATAGACTCTGATATGGCTAATACTCTCACTGTAACAGCAACTACAACAACAGCAACAGCAGCAGCAGCAGCAACAACTTCATTATTATCATCATCTGCATCCGCATCCGCAACATCTTCATCAACATCATCATCACCCCCACCAACAACTACAACAAATGCAACCATGCCAACAACAACAACAGCAACAGCAACAACAACTACAACTACAACAACAACACAATCACAAACGCCAAAGGTAATGTCGCTTTTGTGTGTCTGTGTGTGTGCCTGTGTGTGCCTGTGTGTGTGTGTGTGTGTGTGTGCGTCTGTATCTGAGTGTGTGTGTCTGTGTGTGTATCTCCTTATATGTCTCTTGTTGTGCGACAATTGTAACTGTTGTTTAGCCATTTATGTGTTTGTGTCTGTTTGTTTGTCTCCTGTTGTCGCCGACCACCACACATCCGCCCACAACCCACAACCACCCACTGTCAGTCAGCTAAACTAAAGTTTAGACAGATAAATGTGCTATATATGTAATATGTATATACTCTATACTCGATTCTAGTGTTTGTGCTGTGTATACTGTATATATGTACATTGTTGTATAATCGTTATAATCGTATGTTGTACAACTTTGCCACAGATAATAACAATAACTACAAATATGACGAAGCAGTAAACTGAATATGTTAAGGATTTAGCTTTAGAATGAGTCGTTGTTCATTATGAATACTATGAATAACTATATTCTATTGATATATATTTAACCGACTGTGTATAAATTAGCGTGTATAAATTCTTGCTTAGATATATTTAGATCATTTTATTTAATTGTAATATATATTTGTTGCTTTCAATATTCATTTATTCTTAAGGGTAACGGCTAAGTTTTTACAAGATTTCGGTAAATTTGGTGTTTCAAAGTCACTATGACTCCTAACTCTACTAACTTTTTGCACTATAACCCCACCAATGGAATCACAATTAAATCATATTTATGCAGACATCCCAAAGAGTTTGTTATCTTAGGGAGAAGAGTATTTATTTCATAAAAATATATATAATTCTTAAATATTTTCCCAATATATTTTCCATAACAGGTAACTTGAAACTTACCCCAAGAACCAGATTTAAGCGCTTTTAACGCATAACTAGAGTTAGTTTAGGAACAAAGGATAAGTGTTTCTAGAAGCAAACCCATTTCGTAATAGGAAACTTGAAACTCCCTTTAAGATTTTTCCCCATAGAGAGAATCAGATTTTCTTATTATTAGCCACTTTTGGATTTGTACTACTCCTGTTGATTCTGCGTTTTATTTCTCAATGACCTTTTCGCCATGTTTATCTTACCAATTTTTGTTTTGCAATTGCCCAAAAAAATATGGCAAATTTGTAAATGAAATGCAAACTGCAGACAAATGCAAATGAGAACGAGCCCGCGAGCACCTGGCCGCCAACGACGGACGTGGCAGATGCCGATGTGGCAGCTACACTGCGTCCAACGCTGGCCGAGATCGAGCTCTTGGTCGAGTCGACGACGGCGACGACGACGACAGCTTCGCACGCGCACAGCACGCTCTCGGTTAGCTTTAAGGTGAACTACTTACTTGCTGCACCCACTCACACACTCTGTTGTATGCAACATATAATACATATATATTTTATTAAGCTGCACCAGAACCCACCCCGATTCCGACCGCCCTCCGCCCTCGCCCCCGCCCCCAATCTTCCCAGCCCAGGCAATTTGAGTCCCGCAAGCAGCCAACTAGTTAAGCCAATTAAGGGATTTCAACGTTTGCACTTATCCTTTTGAAATGGGATGCCAATCAGCGCTGATTAGCAGCGCATTCTCCTCGCATGTCCTTTCGTATTGCATGTAATATTTCTACTCTTTATATAGATATTTTTATATAAATAAATATGTGTCTCTTAGCTAAGTATATATCTCTATACCTGTTTATCTGTATATCTGTATCTGTATCTGTATTTGTGTGTGGCACGCACCCACTAACAACTCTCTGCCTGCCCCCGTAGCTCTCAACACTATTCAAGCATGACACTTAAAGAGAAGAAATGAAATCGCGTCACTTCAATTAGCCAGTTCATATGTCATTTAACGAGTTCTCTGTAATTCCCAGCAGGCAGGGGATGCTGTCGACGCCCTCGAAGTCGCCAGCAATAGCAGCGTGTCCCCCAATCTAGCCGGCAACAACGAGGTACAATTAGTCAGTTAGCGTATTCATAAAATTCCACAAAACTACATAATTGCTAACCATTTTATAGTTGGCTACGCCCACGACCACGATCAGACAGCCACAGCTGGAGGTGAGCAGCACGACGGACGCCTCCACGGATTATGTGGAGCCGCGCGGGGAGAACAGTGTGCCCATCATTAAAATGCGTTTGCAAAAGCTGGCTGTGCCGTCGGGCAAAGCGTTCAGGTTTGTGGTGCCCGCTGAAACCTTTTTCGATGCCGAGGATCAAACCAATCTGCGACTGGAGCTAACCGACAAGGACGGCTACGAGCTGAAGCCCTCGTCCTGGGTGCAATTCAATGCGGATAAGCGGGAGCTCTATGGCTTGTAAGCTAATGACAATGAAACAAACTGTGCAGTGCTATTCTATTTTTAGGAACGCAATGCTAATTAAATGTTTTCCCTTTTTTAGACCACTGGATGATGCTGTTTCCCGCTGGCAGTATCGCCTCTCGGCAACCGATTCTGGTAATGCCACCGTTACAGAGACAGTGGAGATTATCGTGCAGCAGCATCGGGCGTTGCGTACCTTCAATCATGAGATCAGCATCGCGGTCCGTATCAATGAGAAGCTCGGCCACAACATCGACTGGCAGCTGAAGCTGATCAGGGCTGTGGCGCACACGCTCGAGGATAACAGCAGCTCGGCGCTGGTGGTGCGCGAGATACGACAGACGGCGCAGGAGCCACAAAGTGCCAGTTTTGTATACTACAATGAGACACTGCCCACCAGCGACTGCCCGGAAACGGAGCTCAATCAGCTGGTGCAACGTTTGGATACGAAGCGTTTGACGGACTTATTGCAGCCGCTGCTCAGCGTCAAGTCTATAACGGGTCAGCTGATTGGTGCCTGCCAAAACACAGAGCTGGCCAAAATAAAGCCAACAACGCACATGGCCAAGAACTTGCCGCCGATGCCGCGCAATCAGGTGGATCGTGTGAATGCCTCGGTGGGTCAACTGTTGGTCTACAAGGTGCCCAGCGATACCTTCTACGATCCCAATGATAATGAGCTCACGCTCACGCTAAAGACGAAGGAGCACAAGGAGCTCAGCACCCGCCACTGGCTGCAGTTCGACTCGAAGAATCAGGAATTCTATGGAGTGCCTAAGAGCGGCGACATTGGCACCGAGGAGTATCTGCTCATAGCCGAAGACAGTGGCGGCCTCAGTGCCAACGATGCACTGGTCGTCGTTGTCACACACACACCCAAAAAGGAATATGCCATACTGTACAAGGCCTATTTGGCCATACGCCACGAGAACTTCAATGCGGAGCTGCAGCGTAAATTTCTGGAGCGTATTGCTCAGCTGCACGGCGATGCTAACACAAATCATATTGTGGTGCGCTCGATAACCACACACCACGACTCGGACGGCACAATTGTCAACTTTTACAATGCTTCATTGTACAAGTCGCACAATCGTTGTCCCGACAAGGAGATGGCTGCCACACGTAATGTCTACCTGAGCAGCGACATGATGCCCAGTCCCAGCGTGAAGAAAGCCCTGGGTCCGGAACTAAATCTGACGAACTTTACTGTAGTGCCCTCAGGCACCTGTCATCGTAAGTGGGCCAACAGATGCGCAGCATCTTAGATTCCATTCTCCAAACCTCTCCTATTTTGTCCACTTTTAGATGCGGAGAATAGTGACATTAGTCAGCACGAGTATATACCACCGCGACCCAAGGATCCGAGCTCGAAGCCAACGTTTCCCGATGAGTATTTGGCCACGTTTATACTGCCCGCTGTCATTATTTTGGTCATGATATTGCTGGCCTCAATTATCGCCTGCTGTTTGCATCGACGCCGTCACAAGAGCGGCAAAATGGAGCTGGGTAAGTTAATTAATTAGTTAATTCCATTGCGGAGAGCAAAGCAAATGACAACTTTAACAACTTCCAACCGCAGGCGATGAGGAGGAGCGTAAATCGTTCCGCACCAAGGGCATACCGGTAATCTTTCAGGATGAGTTTGAGGAGAAGCCCGAAATAGGCAATAAAAGTCCCGTTATACTCAAGGATGAGAAGCCGCCGTTGTTGCCGCCCTCGTACAACACCTCCAACATGAATGGTGACAACGATGTGGATGAGTATGTGCCACCGCCGGCAGTGGTGCTCGGTGGACGCGAGGTGCGAGGGAAATCACCGGCAACGCCCTCTTATCGCAAGCCACCGCCATATGTATCGCCATAAATGTGTCAACAGCAGCAGCAGCAGCAGCAGCAACTACAATAACAGCAGCAACAACAACAATAATCACAACTAATCAATTCTTAACGAAGACAAAAGGAAAAACAAAAAAACAAAAAAAAATTACAAATACAATTTACAATCTTAATCTAACAAATCTTTCGCACCCTCAACTCTATTGTTAATTCTATGAAATTGAATTTTGAATTGAGGTGCAAGTCGACCGCCCCGCCCACATTATGATAATATTTATGTAACTGTATTAAGAACTGTAAAACAATCAATTAACGATTTCAATATGCGACTTGGCTAACAACTTAAGCTAAAACCTAACACTAGAAAACACACACACACAAACACTATGCTGCATATTATTTATCTAGTATGTACCTTAACTTATATACATATGTATACACACACACACACACTCACAAACAGAAACACACACACTTTAATAAGCAAGCGTAAGAGCTTAAAACACACACAAAAACACACAAAGAACCGTTTATAGAATAGCATTTAATAGACGTTGAACGCGGCTAGCCGCTGTTTCCAAATGCCCTTTGCCTAGGCCTGACTTGTTTGTATCTTAACTCGATTGTAGTAAGGCATGTGTTCATTATGCAGCCAATAGACTTTCAGCTTAAGCATTTTAAGCCGAATTGTTTATATCTTTGGCCAGTGCCGTCCGATGTGCAGCAATAGCTCATAAAATTCCATTGCTAAAATTGGCCGCTGCCCATCAAATTCAATTTTTGGCCAACATTCTAGCCACATTGTTGCGTGTGCTTGCAATTGTTGGCACTATGCTGTAGTCTAGTATTATATCATATCATTTGGAACATTTCTATGGCTATGCCCCAAAACTTGTAGTCACTTGAGCAGGGGGCATATCGCTTCAATTGAGTTTTGCATTTAGGTTTTAAGAATCAAACATTATTGATAATGCTTTTTGTTTAATTACGCTATACTCAATACAGCTGCCAATTGAATAGTGAGTGAGTGCACTCACCACTCACACTTACAGACTACAAATCAAAATAATAGTACATATTCCGAATTCCTATAGTTGCCCCACAAGTGCTTCCTCCATACCACCAAATCATATCCAAAATGTAATGAATTACACACACACACACACACACACACACACACACACATACACACATACTCATCCACCCACACACAAAGAACACACACTAAGTATATCAAATCATTACTTAAAGTAGCCTCCTTAGTTATTAATTGATTTTACAAGCCCTATATGATTAGAATATATACACATATTTATATATATACTTAAACTTAAACCTTCTTGAAAAACGAACCACTTGAATTGTACTAAACAAAAAACAAAAAACAAAAAACAAAACTGCATACTTTAACTGTGTAGTGAGTATGTCCATTGATTTTATATATGAGACCGTCATCTATGTAAGTTAGAGCAATATTTTCTATGGAAAACTGAAAAATTAACAAATTACTTAATGAATGCAAATGAAAAATGAAAGTTATAAAAAGAAAAAAAGAAAAAAAAGACCGCAATGCGGCGTAAGGCCTATTATATTAAGCATATAGCATATGTACGATTATGTGTACTAATTTGAGTAAATTGTATTAGCTCATTAAGCGTAAAATATTTACACTGTATTTTGTAACAAAAACAACAACAAGAACAACAACACACAACCACACACACAAGAATAACGGTATCAGTTTATTTTGAATAAAAAATGCCAAAGATACATATTTTTCTTCATTTTATTTATAATTCAAATTAAAATCCAATTGACCACGCTTATGCAGTGCACAATTTGTGAGACTTGACCTGATTTCTTGTAAGAAATGGAAGCTGCAAAATTACAAGTCCATGAATTGGATATTTGTTGTAACGATATAATAGTTGACAGAGTTAGTTGATTATTTTTCAGCAGCCTTCAAAGTTCTTATTTAAATTGTCACGTTGAGTATTTCGTTACATCCACTGATACACACAAACACAAATCTAAGTAAGTACACAAAACAAATAAATAAATACACAAATAGTTTTGAAATTACCCAAAACTGTAGCATAGAGAACTAAACTATAATTAATGTAAAGCAATACAATAATAATTGTGCGCATATGAAAAGAAAATAATTGGATAGCAAATAGATTGTGGAATAATTATTTGGCAACTAACCGCTGTCCCCGACCCGTCTAAATAATTATGTGTAATTGTTAAGGAACGCAACACAAAGTCAATAACAAGAATAAACAAGAATAATAATTAAATAAAATATTTGCAAATTGTGGCAATATAAAACTAACACAGATACACAAACAATTCACATACACAGAAATACACAGACAGCTACAAATATATATATATATAAAAATTACTAATAAACATTTATATATATTTTGATATAAAACAAATCGCGTTTGATTCAGTTTTTTAATTGCCATAACGAATTGGAATTCTTGTTCTAATTTTGCTAATGAATGTGGATATTCAATTTATTAAAATACCAGCAGCTCAAGCAAATTATGGAATCAAATCAAAAAGCATAACACATAATGAAGTAATATAAAATTTTGTTAGCTGCTCTCTCCCCCCTCTCTCTCTCTCTCACACACCTGCTAATAAAGTCGTGAGAGTCACCCTGCCCCCAAGGTCCTGGCTGCTATCCTGGAGTCCTGAAGTCCTAGAGTGTGTATGCTATTGATTCGGTTACTTTGACAACCAATATTAGTTGCCCGGATCCTGGATGCTGTTTGCTTACGTATACCCATAACACACACACACACACACATCTATATATATACATATATATTTATATATATATATTTATATATCCAAACACTTCGTTGGCTTCGCTGACGCCAAGCGTAATAGCAACAAAAATAACAACAACTACATTTGCCCTGTCTGTCACTCAATTCAGTTGGGCTCGGGTGCCGAGTGGAAGGGAAGGAAGGGTGGGGGGCAGCGGCAGCGGCAGCTGCTTGCCACTTCAATCTGTTGTTATTGTTGCTCGTGTCGTTATTATTATTATTATTATGTAATGCAGTCATTTAATTGGTAACAAATTGTATTGTTTGGCTTGTCATTTCTTTGCCAGTTGCTTTTGTACGCTTTTATGACTTTTCCAGGAAACCAAACATAAGCATTCAACAAAAGACAACAAAAACAAAAACAACACCACATCGCATACCTGACGCATGTATCCATGTGGCATCCACATACATACATATGTAAATGTATCGTATACGCTTTTCAGCATGTTGTTACATTTAATGCAGCCCCCAAGCTGTGCTCCGCTTGGGTTTCTACTTACATACATACATAAGTGTGTAGGAGGAGCAGGATTCAAACATAGGTCCAGGTCCCTTATGACAGACAAAGTAAAAGTTTTCTATGGCCAGTTGTTTGCATCGGATGTAGTTTTGCTAACTGCAAAGGTTTTGCCTTTGACTGCAATACGCTTATGAGGCTGCAATTAAAAAGTCACCAACTATTTAGAGCCAAATAGTGCAAACAAGGCAACAGGATGCCAACCAATTTAAATCAGCAATTTGTCTGGCAATATGCATGGAATTTGATGATGTTAAAAAAAGGACATTAACTAATAAGCGAGAAGCGAAAAGCTTGAAGAGAACTTACGACAGTGATGAGATTAAAGGTATTAAAAGTGTTGAAAGATTGAAAATGTGACAAGAAATCAATTATGGGTGTAACAAGATAAACGACAAGCATCAGAGGAGCGAAAAAAATGCATATCTGAAAAGCAATAAGTGAAGCATAAAGTGTTATCAAAAACGATAAGGCAAGTGCTAAGGAAAGCAGGCAGTTAAAAAAGAATCGCTTAAGCAGAGCAACAAGAATGCAACAGAGAAGCGATAATAGAAAACAAACAAGTCATAAAAAAATATGAGTTGATGAGAGAAGGACATGCACAGGGCTTAAAGCAGAAGGAAATTAAGACTATGTTCTTGATTCGCAAATTGGTTTTTCCTGCATGCCTCGATAATTGTAATGATTCTCATACTTTTAATCGGTTCAATTTTCATGAAGACTCTAAATGTCTAACTCAAATTCTTTTGAAGTTCAGCTTTTTAGGAAGTGGTCATAGGAGTTTGTGTATTTGGTAGACAAAATTAATTACATTGTTTAACCCGGTGACAGGCATTTCATCAGACTTATCTAGGCCAATGCGAATTCGTCCTTATGTCCTTATGTTATTAAGTATTTGTATGTGTATACATAGTTCATACAAGTGTAGAAAGGCTTTGGCAGTCGACTTGTTGCCTTTTATCATTGTGTAACAGCTGCTGTCAGTGTCCTTTTACTTATGCTTATCCTGTCGTTGCCATAACACTCATTATCGCCATCCTGGCCCCATTATACAATGAATGCCATTTACTGAACATTTTCCCAATTTTGCGTATCAAGTTACCAAACAACAAGCGTGGCGAGCGTATAATTAACTTACTGTCTTACTAACCATCCTGTGGTATGCACTCCTCTGAAGCTAAACTTTCAATGGAGATAAATACTTTGGAGTCAAAGTACACTTTCCTATGGATACACACACACACACACACACACACACATTTAAACACAAATATAAGTGCTAAAATTGTATCATAATTTAGTTGGAGCGCGTGCTGTAGCAGCAAATGAAAATCTCTTTTATACAATTGAGTCCAGTCCTTTCACATCTTTGGGTTCAGCTTTCCATCGTCCTGTCTTCCTGTCGTCCACTCTACTGTCTGCTGTCTGCTGTCTGCTTGCTCTATGAATGCTTACTAAAGCTCACCTCGCACCTCGACGCAAATGTGATTTCAGCTTTTGTCCTTTTTGAAAACATTTATAGTAAAAAACGGGGCAATTTTCGTTCGCTGGACATTGTTTTTGCCAAGTGAGCATCAGACAGGTAGTCAGAACGTATCCAAACCCCGAGCTGGAGAGCTCAACCGTTCGCCACGCCTATTTCAATTGTTTTTACTGTCACAACAGCAGAGAACCTCAAACTATTTGCAACACAATATAACAGAACTGAAATGCTCTGCAGCTGGCTTTAACCACTGGCACCCTACAAAATGAATAAATGAATGTATTTGATTTTTAAACTACCATTTTTTGTATGCATTTTGCTCTTATTTTGACACGCCCATTGAGCTAGCTGCTGGTCTTTTATGAAGCAATCTAATCGAATACATTTTACACTACAATATAATATTATGCATCTGAGATAATCATGCAAGCTAAGAGATTCGCTGAGCGACAGGAATAAATAAATGCAGCAATCGTTGTTATGCATTAAAATATATTAGATTGTGTAGCTAAACTATCTTTTATAAAAGAGGTTGTTTGAGATGTTTATATAGCTCCATTAGCCTTAAAGCCTTATGTTTTGTTTTGTTTTTTTTATATTTATTTAAGCTTGCAATAAACTTGAGCTGTCAGAAAATGGCTATAACTCTTGAATCGTACAGCTGCTGTCAGAATCAATGCTAAGCAGTATCATTCTGAGATGGGTCTTAGCTGAACTTGAACTGCTTATGATAGCGACCTTAGATCCTAAGCGGTTTATTTAATTCCTCATAATTGAAACAGTTCTAAAGTCGGTGCGCCCCACTTAAGCCCTGTATCATATCTGACTTAAAACCAGTTTCTAATTTATGCCGTGCTAAATAATAATCGTATCGTGATTTAAGACCAGTTAAGTAATTTCTTGAAGCCCTAAAGCTCTCCGGTTTATTCAATAATATGGTGAATGCTTATTGCCAAAGCACAGCCTGCATCTCAAAAGTATCAATAAAAGGATTCGGGGATAAGCATGGTATTTTCATTAGAGTGTATCTAAATGCGAGCTATCAAATAGATATGCAGATGCTCTCGAACTCCAGCGAAACATTCATTTGAAGCACGTTCGCTGCGCTCTTTGCACTGTGCTCTGGCAGTGAAAAGGTAAACAGTGTATCACATTGGGGGTCTAGGATTCTAGGATTCTAGGATTCCAACCGCCAGGAGCAATTCAGGAATCAGGATATCAAGCGGCAGTCGGTAGGTGTGACTATATGGGGGCAAATTGAGATTAATAACAAAAACCAAACGAAAACCTGTAACGTGACAAATGCCCCAGCATAGATGGACCGAGAGAGGAGGCGAGAGGTGGTCGACAGAAGGCCACGAGGACAGAAGGACAAATACATCAGGAGCAGAAGCAGAACCAGAAGCAGAAGCAAAAGCAGAGAGTCGAAAGTAGAAAGCAGAAGAAATAAATGCTGAAGGAGAGACTCGGTTTGGGGTTATTAGATTGAAATAAAATATTTGAATTGCTTGGCAAGGACTAAATGCAAAAGCCAATGATTTGTAAGCATGG